AGATTACCATGTCTGGTTTCAAAGATAGCAGTTTAGTTTTGTTTGCAGTGTGGTATTTCCATAATGTCCAGGTTAGTATGTAGGCCTGCTAGATATAACTGAAAATGGGGAAATTCAATCAAAGAAGACTCTGAACACTGCCATAGTCATAGCTTTAAGAATTCTATGCATACTTGAGGTAATGCTCTGGTGTATGCAGACATCCTTTAAATATTGATAGTGTCTGTTACTAACTTGCTCTGATTAAAAGTGCATTGGCTGACAAGGCAGAAGTATGCTCAGAACAAGTATTGCAAATCAAGTTTTGCCCATGCTCTATATAAGCTTAATGATATAGAAAAGAAATGATCATTTCTTCAGTTACTCTGGATTTCTCCTCAAAGCTGTTCATATCACTGGATGATTTGTATCTGAACTGCCTGCACTAAAAATATTCTACAGCTTGAAGATAAGACATGAATTCTTTAGGTATCTGTTGATTTATATTTTGTTTTATGCACACATCACCCTGAATGTACAGTTATGAGTAGTGAATGTGTGTTGTCAAGTTGATGCACACATAGAGACTGCCCTTCTAATAGCTCAATATGTAGAATGGTCAAAGACATGTAACACAGCCTTGCTTTTTTTTTTTTTTTTTCTTGCAGGGACCTGGATCCTTTTAGAGAAGGATCCAGGTAGCATTTTGTGTGTGCTTCATCTGGGGTTGGATTTAGGTACATGCTGGAAGTGATTGCCCATATGTCTGTACAACTGGAGGCCAGTGCTTCCTAAAGCAGCCTCCATTTCTGGAATGGAACAGATCAGTGGAGCTCATGGGAGAAATTTCTGCCGGCCAGACCCATTGTACAAATTGGCTTTTTGGCTTATTTTCAGGGTTGCTCCAAAAAAGTGCTAGCTTTCTGTTGTGTTGGTGACAGGTCCTATTGGCACATTGTACAGACACATGGGCAGTGTTGACACCATCATAGTCAAGTTCACCTTAGGACTTCATTTCAGTGGATGACAAAATGCTGAACTGTGGCCATGTATCTATATAATTGCCTGGGAAACCGCAAACTGCTTGGAATCCATTTGTATGTTGCCAGGGACAGCCCAAGATGTTTTACTGCCTGAGGTGAAGCAGGAAATAGCACCCCTCCTATTTTTACTCTTGCACACATTCATTGCCCCCTCTGACCTGTATCCACACACCCACCACACCCTCCATCCTTTCATTCCCTTGCCCTCTCTTTTGTGCTGCATGGACATATGTATGCTCACTTTCTGTTCAATGGATCATCTGTGTCAGGGATGAACAACTTGTAGGCCAAAGCAACTATGCCTGTGCCAGTTAAAAATGTGAAATGCACATTTCAGTGTCAACAAACTTGAGAATGTCTCTCTTAAATTTCTTCATGGTACAAGTCAGTCTGTATTTATCCAGTAGTAACTTCCACTGTGTTCAGTGGGACTCACCACTATTGTGCATAGGAGCAAAGTCTATAATCAGCCAAGAAGACTTCTAAATTACCAAGAAAGAAGTTCTACAAGTTTACTCGGACACAAACCTCATGGGAGCATATTACACTTTAGCTAAAAGCTGGGGCAGAGGCAGAGAGGAATTGGGGTGTGGTGGCTTTTGGATTTAATAAAGTCAGTATAGGCCATCTGTTCGGAGTACCACCCGACACACCATCAAGGGCAGTAGCCCTCATAAGAAGCTGCTGCCAAAAACAAAACTGTACAAGCAGTTTTCCCCTGCAGTTTGTTTTTGTAGTCCACTTATGGATTATAAATTTAAAGCTGCACTCTGTCGCTATTTCTGACATGGACTTTGATGAAATTCTTATGCTGAAAATTCTCTTTTTTCTTTCTCTTTCTCCCCCTCTCATTTCTGGCCCTGTTCTTGGAGGTTTCTGGAAGAGGAGAAACCTGTTTCCTGTTTCCCTTTCCTCACACTGCCACCACAAACCACTTCCTGTCCTGCTTCTCAGAGCACCAATGAGTTCAGTCCACAGGCTCCACTAGACTTAATGAGGTGTTGTCTTTATGAAATAGAAGCCTGGGGCACATGCTGCTTGCTTGCATGGTTATTTGTGTGTGAGCATAAGAAGGGGTGCTTAGAATTGCTTGTAATAATACAAGTGTTACACTATGTAGCCACAACATGAAAATTATAATCAGGAGGGCAGGTTGGTGGTGGTTGTTGTAAACTTTCAAAAAACCAATAAAAATTAATGGGAATGAAAGAATCTTTTGCATTTTTTTAAACAAAGTGTAAGGAATTGAGAGGAACTCCTAGGTCACCGGCGCTACTGATCTACTGAATCAAAACAATTCTTTGGCAGTGGAAGAAACACACGACATCTTATAATAAGCTTAGCTCAACATCTTACAATAGGCCAGCAATAAATTTTTAAAAATTGAAGTCTTCTAATCTTAAGTCATGCTAGTTTGCCAAGAATTCAGCCACCTTTTTTCAGTGGTGTAAATTTACACTGAGGCTTAAGATCTTTTTATTCCAATACAATTTGGCTAATCACAAGCATTTTTGTTTTGACAAGTTCTGTAAGTGAGAGCCCATATGGGTGAACTTGTGTAAATTTATTTTTTTTTTGCAATACCTGTTTTTAAATTAAATAAGCCTATAATTGCAGGTGGAGATTTTGTAGTTTACATCATGTGGATTTGTATGGGAAACTTTGATCGATTTGACCACTGAAAAAGAACTCTGGTCAAAAGTTTAGTTATGATTTATTTGGTGTTTTTTGTATTGAATGATAGATAATTGTAATTTGAAGATATAAAATTGTTATATATTCAAAATATACTCACTTTCCATTTGATTGTTACTGTGCAATTTATTTGAATGCAATATTAGCTATAAGTTACAAGAAGGTAATATTAAGTATAAGTTTGATCATAGTAAGTTATTGTATTTCAGGTTTGCCAACATAGTGCATTTTCAATGGCTTAGATAATTGATCAGTTTATTGGTTATTTGTTTGCAAGAATTCAAAAGATGGGACCTGTATTAACAGACTTGTATGTGAAAGAGGTGTACTACAGTCCTCTCAGAGCTGCCCCAGTGAAAAGACTCTCCTAGTTGCAACCGTCTACCTGTATTCTAAGCATGCCTGTCCTTGGAGCATAACACCACATGGGGAAAGCAGGAACTTGGGGAGCCACAGTTCATACAGGAGGTTATGTTCAACTGCATTGTTCTCCTATGTATCACTACTGGTATTTGGTCTTCCAGTTTTTCAAAGCTATATGGCGCTCAGTCCATTGTAAGCATTAAGCAGTAGTTGTAGGTGTTGCTTGTTCCTGCTAAAGAGGGCCTTCCAATTACAAGGCCTTTTAGTTGGTATCTCAGTTGACCCGAATTATAGAATTCAAACTGTCAGCAAGTCTTTACAAGTTAACAGAATTCATGAAAAGCAATGTTGCATGTACCTGAAGAATATGCACCTGTCTATCCACATTAACAAGCAGAAGGTTCGTAGTAGTAGACTTAGCATTATGCAAACAGAGAACCTTGCATAGATCTTACATGGTGTTCGGGATTTATTTATTATTTATTTATTAAAACATTTTGCATGATAATGTGTAGAAACAGGTAATGTATGTTAGGTTTGAAGAGTATAGTCACATGCTGGATTGCAATGCCAGCTAACTGGGTCTTTTCCTCCCACCCACCCCCAACGACAGGAGCATATAGGGCATTAATTTGAGCAGGTGGGAGTCCCAAAAGTCAAGGTTAATAATTCATTTAAGGTATTCCTTGTCCTTTGCCAAAGTCAAAAGTTTTAGAAGTTTGTAAATTATATAAAATGATAGAACAGTTTTCTTTAAATAACATAGAAACAGAGCGAGTCAGAAGGGGTCTCCTGGGCCATCTAGTCTGACCTCCAATGGCCCTCCCAGGCCATCTAGTCTGACCTAATGTATATGAGAACACTGTTTTTGATACCATGTTACACACAGATCCCTCACACTAAAAACAGAAGGTGGGAGTTAATTTGGTATACAGATTTCAGGGGATGCTTTTGTTCTTTTTGGTGTATGCACTTGCAGCATGGTACATGCATTTACAAAGTTCTTGAAGGAGATAATACATACTATTTGCATCTTTCAGCCCACCTTGCAAAATGAGTGAATTTGAAATATGGACCTCTAAACACATACACCTTCTTGATTTCTCAATGTTTTAAAGAAAACTGTAGTCTTGCACAAAATACCAAATGGGAAAGTTAAACCAAAGGCTTAATATCTTCCATTCCAGGCCCCAATCAAATAGGCAACTGGCCAAGTAAAAGGATCACTGTTTATCCAGGCAGCAATAAATTGGCAGTATCAACTTACTTTCTCTTTACTTGATATTTAAAAGCTTAATTGCCTGGTCCTTTTTCAGTTAGGCTCCCTAGATGCTTGTATGGAGACTAAATATGAATTTGCCTTTAGCCAAAGCAGTCCCTTAATCTCACTGTATTTTTCCCACCGCTATAGGGCAGTCTATAAATGTTTTACATAAATATAATGGTGAAAACTGTTTGTAATATGTCGGCCCAACATGCAGCTGAGATGACAACAAAATCATAAGGTAGCTTCCAATATGTCCCAGCACAAACACAGATAGCTTTGCACTAGCGTAAAACAATACTAGTGCAAGCCTAGCTTGCTAGAGCAATAGGAAATAGTAACGATTTTCTGTTAAATGTAGGGCAGTGTCCTCTGAACAGGTCCAGGTTGGATACCAACTAGATTCCTGAGTCCTGCAATTCCATGAGTTCTCTCTCCAAAATTTTGTGTAGCCTACCTCTGGCCTTTATCACTCTCTGTGTTGGCATACATATTCTGGGGAACTGGACTTGGCTGCCTTCAAGCTGTCTGTGTACCTCTGTTGTTAAAATATTTTGATTGATTTAACTCTTTCATAAATGCTCTTTCTTAGCTACTTTTAAAAAAAACAATACTTAGTACCGTCTTCCATAATATTTACCCATGTTGACTTTCAGGTCAAGAACGTTTTGGGAATATGACCAGAGTGTATTATAAAGAAGCTGTAGGTGCTTTTGTGGTCTTTGACGTCACAAGAGGATCAACATTGGAAGCAGTTTCCAAATGGAAGCTTGACTTGGACAGTAAAGTGCTTCTTCCAAATGGTAGTCCGATCCCTGCAGTCCTACTTGCCAACAAATGTGACCAGAAGAAAGACAGTGGCCAAAATCTTTCTCAGATGGACCAGTTCTGCAAAGATGGAGGCTTTGTTGGTTGGTTTGAAACCTCTGCTAAGGTAAGAATATTCCTAAAATAGGAAGAGGATGTCAAGTTTTTAAGCCTATATCTGTGATAAATAAAGGCTATTATAGCAGCTCAGATGTTAATTACTCCACAGAGCTTTTCATCCTGTAATGTGCATGCCCATGGCTGTTTGTTACATTGGTCCAAAATGAGGTTTGGGGAACTTCCAAACTACTTCACTGTTCAATTTTCAGGGGGTGGTTTAAAACTGGCTTATTCCAATAGCTGTAACAAATTGAAACCATGGATGCACACTGTGTTGTAGGCTTTTTTAAAACATTTCTTGGTATTGTGTGTTGCCTTTTTAAATATAGTGCTAAACTTTGGTGAATGCTACCTTGGATTCCCATTAGAAAGGTCAGTCATTCAATAGAACCATGGTCTTTACTGTTTTTCCTAATAAAGCTGTGAATAAATATCTAGCCCCCACTTGAGTTTTTAATGTCTTCCTAGAATTTTTCATATGTGCTAATTCCTGACCCTCAGTGCTCCTTAACACTGAGTAATGTGCTTTGCAGCACTTGGTAATGTGAAAAGCTAAATGTTTAAGCGTTTTTGCTGGATAATGATCATTTTCTAGCTCACTAAACAGTTTTAATGTTGTCAGCACCTTAATAATATTGATCTGACAAAGCTCTTAGGGAATTTTGTGCTACTCCCTACTCCATCATTTAGAGTTAAATTAACTCCAAATATTTGGTGAGGTGTGAAATGAGTACAGGATTAAGTTATAAAATGTATTGCAAGGATGGGTAACTTGATCTTTCAGATATTTTGGTCTACAATGCTCATCAGCCCTAGCCAACATAAAAAGTGTTGAAGGTGCTGGTTATTACCTATAAAGCCCTAAACAGCTTGGGACCAGGATACCTAAAGGAACGCCTTTTTCCCTATATGCCCTCCCATCCCCTGAGATCAGCAACAGAAGCCCTCCTCCGGGAACACTCCGTGAAAGATGTTAGGAGACAGAGTACCCGGAGGAGGACCTTCTCTGTGGTGGTGCCCCAACTATGGAATGTGCTCCCCAGAGATGTCTGCCTGGCACCATCATTATATGCTTTTCGGCACCAGGTCAAGACCTTTTTATTTAACAAATATTTTAATGTTAGTTAATTTTAATGCTATATTTATTTATTTAATTCATTTAAACTATGTTATTTTATACTGTCATGGTATAGCCAATTTATTTATTTATTAGGATTGGTAGGTTTTACTGTTTGTAAACCACCCAGACTCTGGGCTACTAGGGTGATATATAAATGCAATTAATTAAGTAATTAGTAAGTAAGTAAGATGAGCATTGGAGCTGTCCATAATTTTGACCTTTAAGTTATCTATGCCAATATATAAGAACAGCAAGGAAAGTAGCTCACTAATTAGTACCTAGTAGATACCATTATAGCGTCTATGTCTTGCACTCAGATTTATCAGAAAAGTTGTTGGGTGAAATCTTTACCATTTGATTAAAAATGTACTCATGGTTAAATGAGCATTGCCAAACATACTTAATGTTGCTTGACGGGCATGTAGAGTAAACATGCACCACCTAGGGAGTCAGCAAGCTATTCACTCACCTGTTTTCATCTGATATCACCTGTCACTTCATTTTCCTTTACAGCAACTTTATGCTTATATGTTGGCTTAGTAACTGTACACACATTATTAGCTTGCCTTTTAATGCTATGGCTTCTGATGTTAACATGCCCATTCACATGAAGAAGGATGAGAATAGAAAGCCAAATCTGATAACAGAAAATCAAGATCCAGCTTCAATATTCCAGGCTGTCCCTTTGGTTAAAGACCCTGAAATAGTCAAGCTGATTGAAAGCCCAAGTATTCGCGAGTCTTAACAGATATGGTAACCATACTTGTGCTTGCTTGCACAATGATTTAACAAACAATAATTACAACGAACACATGCCAATCTAGGGGAACTTTGATTAGTGGTAGATGATTTGACTACAGATGCTGGGATCAAAACATCTTTTACAAAGTGCTGCTGTATACCTGACCTTGTATGCTGAAGAGGTGGCATTTTGGACCATCTGGGATTCTTCCACAGAGGAAAGCATTAACTTGTCTCATGATCTTCTCAGGATAATATCAACATTGATGAAGCTGCTCGGTTCTTGGTGGAAAACATCCTTGCAAACCTCAAAAGCTTCCCTAATGAGGAGAATGACGTCAGAAAGCTAAAGTTGGACCCGGATCCCCTGAAAGCAGAAAGTAAATCTCAGTGCTGTTAATTACATTTTATCTTTCATTGAACACTCCTAGAGAGCAGCACGGTGCTTGTTCCTGGAACTGGACAGCTGCTACGGTGCTTCATCATGACAATCCGAGTGGGGTATTGTTTTATTTGAGCTGGGCACACTCCAGGGTGCTGACACACTTCTTATGTCAAGTTGAACTTCAGAATTACCTAGTACGTGATGTCTTTGTTAACAATTTAGCACAGGTGGAAGCTGGCATACAAAAAGCAGGTATCTTGTGAGATATCAAGGCAAGGGTCAGTATGAGAGACTCAATGCTGACGCTTATCCTTCACAGTGCAATTTTAGAACTAAAATAGGAATGTTAGTCTGAATGGAAGTGTTCATTTTGATAAGCACTATTTTTTCTTATACTTTTTAAGATACCTAATTTCTTTTGCTTTTTTGCTCTCCCCTTCATTTCTGTTCAGCACCAGGACACCAAAACCAAGTCTTTTTGGAAGACCTGGCAGCCAAGAAACTGAATAACACAGTGGCAGGCGTTCCTTGTTTATACTGTCTAAACTATGAAAGAGTCTAGGGCTTGGAATATAGGGACAGGAAAATTAAGCTGGTGTAGTATTAAAGATATTCCTCTTAACAAATGAGCAACAGTTAATTTCAGACTTTCTTTTTCAGATAATGGAAACAATAAACTTAGTATACTTGCATATGATAAGTAATGATGTGCACCCTTAAACCTGAATGACAAATTATCTTTCCTTGCACAAGCACAATCCTTTCACAATTTCTTCTGCCAGGAACAAAAGTGAAAAATGCCCTTGATTAGAATGTCACATTGTTTTATGAAACCAGACTGCAACCAGAAAACTGTTTTCCATTGAACCTTTAGTGAGTAGATGGTGGTACTAATAAAGGCTAATGAAGTACTTTTCTTAATCATGCTGCTTCTAGAGTACTCGTATCTTGTCACATAACTATCCAGTGCAATCCTGCCACTAATGCCAATGGGAAGCAAGTGCTTCCTAAAGCAACTGGAAATTGGCTGGAACATTTCCAGAAGGAAACAGATCAATGGAACTAGCAGAAGGGACTTCCCATTCCAGAAACAAGCAGTTTACTCCTGTTTCAATTGTGTTGGTGGTGGGTCCTGCTTGTGCAACACAAAAAGCAGAAATGCGGCAGCGGCAGCATTGGAAACCACCCAAGGAATCAGACTGCATAAGGGTGTTCACATACCAAAACAACTTGCAAATGCATCCCTGGTTCACAGTGACTGTGAAGGTCATTGTAAGGTTGTCCAGATAAGAAAATGGTATGTGATCTCTACCTTGAAAGAATTCAAGATGCTTCTGAAGGCATCTGTGGAAGTCTGGAGGGATGACTCCTGACAATGACTATCGTTACCTTTGTGTGTTAATGGTAAACCTGTGAATCCTGTTTTGTCCTTGACATGTTATGCTCAAGTGATACAGCCTATTGGCTACTACATGGCCTGCAATACTTTGGGCTAGCATCCTTCAGGCTTAAATTTGGTCACAGTTTTATGTGTCTGAAGCTAGATTTAATGCCACTTTTTAAATTCAAAGGCCTGGAGTTTTTATACTGTGCACTCAAGCAATTTGTTACTTAAAATCCAAAGAGCACAACACACATTTCTAATCTTTCAGGCCTGCACTATCACTCTATCAATTCCAAAGTCAAACTCCTTTTAATCTTGATTTGCCTAACTGTTTTATGATTCCCATTAGTTTTCTACTTAAAGTAAAAGAAATGTTGAACACATCTACAACACATACATTACATACTCTAAATGAAATACAAATAACTCATGGTAGTTTTCTAAAAAACCAATATGCTTGCTTTATAAAGGAAATCAAATGAAGAGACTGTGAAAAAACTAGAAAACTCATTCAACCTTTCTATATATTTTGGGGAAATACATCTTCAGTTTACCTCAGCTTCAGTTATTGAAGCTAAAAATGTAATTTAACAGAGTATATAAAGAATCTTTCACTAGGAATCCAATATGCTACTTAATACTAGCAGTCCTCAGGGCAGAAAAAAATCTATAGCTGTATAGCCAGAAGAACCTCATGTACTGTGTATGAAATGGTTATGTTATACTACGTGTTAATACTTGTCTGCTGTTACTCTTTCGATCAATAAGAAAGAATTATCTCCAGTGCTTATCTCCAGTATGTATTGCCTTCAGTGAGGAAGTATTAGACTAGCCTTTCTTAATAGCAAATCTATCAGATATTCTACTTTGGTCACAAAACTGTTTCAAGGTACAGTCCTATGCAAGTTGAAACAGAAAAGTGTCCCCCATCTCTGCTGGGTGGGAGACACTTGGAGTTATAGACCTTTTTTCTGTCTTGACTCAACACATTTTCTTTTGTGCAACTACAGACTTAAAACTTTCCAAAAATTGATCAGCTTAAAAATTCTGAAGTACCTCAGCATTCAGATGTTTAATACGTTGTTACTGGAGAGATGAATGTACTATTAAGAATCTTAGAAGAGAAAGGCACAGTGTTTCTCCTCAAGTTTAGGAAAAAGTGGAATTGGACATCTACCTGTCACCAGCCTGTATCATCTTGAGAATCCTTGCATCAAAAATATGACCCATCATCCTGGCAGGTTCTTAAAAATGGCATAGTATGAAGAAAGTAGAATTGTGGCATATGAAATTAAGCTACAAATTGGTGAACACTTGGCAGCTGAAAAGATTTCCATTTTATAGAATTCAAAGGATCACTGACTCCATAGAGAGAGAATGGAGCTGCTATCAACTCTGTGCAGGGCAGCAGGAGCAGACTGTCAGCTCATGCTCACAAAATAAACACTGATTAGCATGCACATTTTTATGGGAGATCCTATAGATAAGCTTTTCAGATAGGTGTGGAGTTTTGCTCACAGGAGCCCCATGGTCTGTTGCAGCTTATGTAGACTGTCTTCCTGTCCAATGTTATGCCAGAGTGTGTCTGTGGCATGTAGACTGTGGCATTAGTTGCAGCATTCAGCATTATCTCAGTTTTAAAACAAAGCCTCTATAATTGTAAAAGTGTTTAAGGTTTGTAGGTAATGTTTGATGACACTTGAGACCCAGACATGTTTATAGCATAAGATTTCTAGCTGGGAGATTCAGGAAGGAATTTAGTGTCCTGAATATCATCTTACCCTTCTCTATAAATAGAAGAAAAAATGTGCAGTCCTTTGCAGGTTTAGACAAAACAATCTCCTCTAACTCCTCACATGCCCCAGCCATGTACCTTTTACCCTGCATTTCAGAATCATAAGCTTGATTTGCTGTATATGACTTGATGTCATCTTCTTGCGTAGCAGAGGTAAGAGGCAAGCATGGCAGCCATTCCACCAGTGAGCCCCTTTGAGTCAGAGCTCCCTCCTGTTATTGTCTCATTTACCCCTCAAATCTAAAAACATTTCTGCTTAATCTAATACTTTTCAAGCTGAGTTTCAAAGAAACTTTTTCTCTCTTGGCGAGCAGTGGAAGCATTGTTAGTTTGGCCAAAGTTTTGTTTTGGCCATAAATCTCCAGTGTACAGGGCTACAAAAGTTCTCTACCTGCAAGCTCAGGTGGTAACAGCTGTTGGGCTCTGTACAACAGTAACAGGAAAAATAGGTCAGTGTTCTCATGTGGTATCCCCTCTCTATATCGTCTTATATTTATTTTTTTCTTCTTCTAAGCCACTTTTCTGCCTTAAAAACTCCTTCAACACAGTGTGCATTAAACAAGCAAAAGCAAAGCACTTTGAAGGGACAGTTAAAAGGGCCCAAGATGATGAATGAAATCCTATATATTTAAAACACCAGTCAGGGTAAACCTCAGGAAGCCTTAAAGACCAGATGTCATGAAGATTTAAACTGGTTTTCTAAAGTTAACAGTGTGTTGCAAGGGATTTCATTAGGAAAAGTGCAGGCATCTCAACCATTATGTCTCCTGCATGATTGTAACTCATGGATGGAAAAAAGTGCTTAGGAAGGTACCCAATTTCAGCTGTTTAGGGCTTGAAGAGGCAAAACCCCACTTAAATTTGGTTTGAAGTGCACTAGTGACTGTTCATCTCATGAACAAGATATGGCAGGAAGTGATTAGAGCACATTTTGGACAATTTTGCATTTCTAAAGTGTCTGCAAGGATGGTGATCAAGTTGAGAAGGGCTGGATCCTTATTGTACAGTAAGGGAGAGGTGGCCATATTTGCCAACGCAGGCAAACCATATTCTAGGCAATAAATATCACTAGGATATCCCAAAATAACCTAGTAACAGGACCATTCCCTAGCTGGGAGCTTGATCCAGTTCAGAACAGAGCGTCCCCCTCTGTTTTTAATCAGTCAAGAGTACAATCCTGTGGCCACTAAACATTCACAGAATATGTTGGAGTTCTAACTCCAATCTCAGAAAGGGGTTCTACAGTCAGAGCTGAGAATCCTACAGTGGCGTGACCTCCCTCTGCCTTCTTAGACATCACAGCTCTTTTCATGTCAGCTGTAGCTGCCAAGTCTTAAGTGTTTGCAGCCGACACTTGAGGCATCCTTGGGAGGTATTGGGAGCAAGCAGACTTTGGCATATGATGCCTCAACACTTCCTGGTTATGAGCAAGAGCAAAAAATATATACATATATATAGATGGCCAAAAACATCTGTCAATGGCTTTGGTGGGGCAGGAGAAACATGAAGGTAGTCCTTGCTTCTACACTTCTCTCACTGTCATTCAGCAAGTTATGGAGAACCACCCTGGATGATGTCCTATGTAAGTCACCCAACTATTCCCTACCAACATCTTAGCTAGATTGAACTTCACCTTGTTCACCTTTCTTTGGTCCATTTACAAATTACTTAGACATGAAAAATCCTGCCATATTGAACCCCAGGGGAAAAGTTGAACATAACTGGATGTCCTGTTCGTATGGATGTAGCCAAGCACTAAATCGTCATTGGCTAGAGGAAGCAGGTAGCTATTAAAAGGAGGCAGAGCTTTGACAGGTCCAACAGGTCATAGTAGCTTTCTAGCACCATCTTCTGAGAGAGGAGAAGCAGAACAGTAGAAAAGTAATATTCCTTCTCTCAATCAATCTCTGCAACCATTGTGAGTAGGAAGAATTGATATTAGTGAAAGCTGCTGAAAAATCCACTACAGCCAACGAAATCCTGCTCTTGTGTCTGTCTTGCCGTAGTTGAGAAGCATGAAGTTACAATAGAGCCCAGCCCTATATTTTTGTTAGGGAAGTGAGCGGTCAGCTTCTTATATTCTGTTGCTTTTAAATGTGTACAAGCAGCAGTCTTAAAGTCGGTCTAAAGCTTATATTTCCAGTATTTTTAGGCTATTGAACTATTTCCAAATTGGAAAGGTTTTTTTTAATCCATATGTTATATAAATAAAAACAGGGATGGGCTATAGCCCACTGGTTAAGCACCTGCTTTGCATGCAAAAAGTCACAGGTTCAGTTCCCAGCTTTTCCAAATAAGATGGAAAAATGTGCTCAAAGTTCTTTCCTGAAACCCTGGGGATCTGCCACCAATCAGTATTGACAATACTGGACTACTTGGACCAGTAGTCACTGACTTGCTATAAGGCAGCTTCCTATATTCATAGCAATTCAGCCATTTTTGCCTGGATATAATTGTGACAACTTTATATAATTCTTTAAAGGGATAGTTGTAGTTGCCTTCAGTTGCACTTCTTAGAACTTTCATTTTTAAAGTTCAGCAATTAAAAAGAATCCTATTAATAGCAAAGTAAAATTAATGGTAAAGGAGGACGCATAAAGTAGAGGCTTATAAAGAAGACGTAAGACCAAAATCTTGATGAAACATGTCTTAATTCATTTATCTGTGGGAGTAGACACAATATAGTTGAAAGAAGAAACCTCTTCTTTTTTCCCAAATCAATACTGATTAAAAGATTTGTGTGGCACTTTAGGCCAATCTTCCTCAATCTGATTGCCAGTGGACATGCTGAATGCATGATGGAGGCTGTAGTCTAACACATCTGGATTACAGTAGCTTCGGGAAGGTTGCCCCAGGCTAACCAGTTTAATGCAACACAAGCGTTGTATGTGTTAGTTTACTGACACTTATTCCACATTAAATTGGTTTGTTTTTGTTTGTTTTTTTTAAGAATAGCACCTTGAATCCAAAGCAACGTTTAACCAGAAGGGGGTACATCTGGGAAAATATTAAATAAAACATGTAGGATAGCCAAGTGAAAGCTGTAAGTTAAATTGTCAACAAGAGGCTAGTAGTACCTGCACATACTAGAAAAGAGTGAAGAGGAAAGGAGATTCAGCAAATTAAGATCAGTTTCAGAGGGCTGTGTTCTTTTGCCACTTGGGACTAATTCTCATTGATCTTGGATGGCCTTACTCCTGTGTAAATATATTTAGCAACATTACCTGAAGAAGAAAATCTAGCATGCAGGTAGTTCATGACAACTTATGCATGACTAAGTTTAGTATTGGAAATAATTTTATTGAAAGGAGCCTCTAACTGAAGGGTTTACAGAATGGTCAAGAGTGGCCATATCCCATTTTTCTTCTCCTCTGTTTTTGTCTAGTTTGTCTCTCCCTTGAGGCAAAATACAGAATGGTGGAACACTATCTGCACACACTTCCTTACCTACACAAAATCAGTGCTGTGTCACATCACCTGTGCTGATTCCTAGAACTGACAAGGCAGTGAAGCCACTGTCTCATCTGTGAAGAATTTTGTTTCCTGATTATTAGTTTTCCCACAGATATTAAAGTGGGTAAATTGTCTTTGTTTTCCCCTTGTTCATATGGAATCAAGCAAGTCAAAACCATTGGTTTTAACAGCACAATTCTAGCCAGGTTTACTCAGAAATATGTCCCAGCAGGTTCATTGACAGCCACTTCCAGATAACTACATGTGTAGGATTAATCCCATTTGGGGAGGCTCACTTAAAAGAGGTCTGTCATAATAAAGTTTAAGATCACTTTTGAATTAGATACGCTACTTGAATGAGTTGAAACGGTGAATATTTCAGTCAGCATTCCCCAACTTGGTAGCTTCAAGATGCCTTGGATTACAACTCCTATAATTTCCCACTAATATGCTGGCTAGGCTTGATAGATGTGGTCTAACACATCTGGAGTGCATCAACTTGGGGAAGGCAGATTTAGGCTGTGTCTATACCAGCCATTTTTCACAGGATATACTAGCAATCTTTAGTATGTTTGATATACCCCCTTGTGTGTTATCTCCAATTACCTCCTTCCTTCAGCATTTTGTTGTTGCTTTTGATTGTGGCTATTTAAAAGGACAAAACAGATGGGTTTCCTACATGACAAGCATAATCCAGCCCCTACATGGATGCAGTATCTTCATATATTGAACCTCATGCTTCACTGGCATTATGTTTTCCTGTTCAAACTAAGCAAATGGGGAGGGGGTGCATGAACAGGAGGTATGCCTGGCCTTTTCTGGGTACACCTTTCATACCCACATGCAGCCCATGCCTTCCTATCAAAACACTCTTGAGCAAAGAAATATGCTATCCCTGGACACCATGATGTGTCAGTTCTGTGCCTATTTAGGGATTGAAATACATCCTAAATAATTTAGAAAAAAATGCTTTAAATGGGTGGGGGATATGTCTTTTGATACATTTTCTACTTTGAATTTAGTATTTATTGTTTGGTGCACAATTATTGAGTAAACTTTTTATTTTGCTTTTTCAAAAGCAAGTGCATTCAAACAAGCAGACGTGTACTCAGAACACTGTTTATATGCAAGCTAATGATGTCTGGGTCTTATGCATAGATAATGGGATCCATTCTGGGCTCTGATTCCTGTTTCTACCAGCGCTGTTTTGTTTAGTGAATGTGTTTTCTCATATGTTCTTTATATTTTGTATGAATAAACATTTTAGTCTATGTATTTGTCTCACTTGTCTTCACTGATAGCATAATCCTAGCTCTGTGTGTAGCTGGGAGCTGATATTTCACTAGAAGTAGCCTCAAATTGGAGCCATATGCCCACATTATTGCTCTTGGTAAATTGGACCCATCATTCTCTGCAGCAACAGAGACCTCATTACCACTGACAGTGACTAATAAGTGGTCATTGTACCCTGCAGCTGGTGCTATTTCTGACTTTCAGTATTTCAGGAAGGCAGTAAAATCACACCACAACTTCAACAGGGTTCATATTATATGTTGTTTTGTTTTATTGGTGTTTCCTATGCAAAGCTCCTCTGATCCTCTTTTATGAACAAGGAGAAGGGCTACGCAGAATAATACAAGTAGAGAATGAAGGAAAAGAGTAACATTCTAATGGGTTGGATCCAGCAAAAGTTGTCTGCAAACAGAAGGGTTCATTAGTCAGCAGGAATATTCACTGAGTCCACCTTTTTGACTCAGTGGTTATTTTGACTGACTGGGGAAGAGGAGATTTTCCCTGATTCTCATTCCATTAGGTCCTCTGAACAACTGTTTCTAAGCACTGGAACAGGGGTGGGAGGTGGTGCTGGAAATTGAAGAGGAAACAGGAATTCCTACTCTTTTCATCAGTGGGATCATTCTGAATAGAATTCCTCTTGAATATACTCTCATTAGCAGGAAAAGACAGGATCTAAATGAAACTTGACACATTTGAAGCATTTTCAACAACTACATTCTACAATACCTGTAGCATGCATAGCATTTGTTGGATAGGCTGGACAACCTCTATCACTCTGGATGTTGTTCTCTAACACCCACCAGCCATGCTCAATATAGGCAGCCATCAAGGATGATCAGAGCACTAGTCCAACATCTGGAGGGTTGATCCCAGTGGTTATGAAAATACACACTACTCCCAGTGAGTAACTAGATTCATGTAAGATACTTGGCCTGGACAGGCCTCTCATTGGTATAAAAGGAGGATACCTGTACTAGTGCCATCTTCTGGATATTTGATTTGAAACCTGTCACTAATTAGATTGTATCCAACAATAAAGACAAATAGTTAAAAAATAAACCAGGCATGGATGTCTGACAGAATACATGCATTCAGACCTGTTCAGAATGTACACTTAATATTTATCTCTCCAACTTCTGCTCCAGCTCCTTTCTCACAACTAGATCCATGAAAAGTAAAATGGAAAGCACTGCTGGATATAGAAAGGAAGTACTCATTATTTAAATCACCAATGCCTCCACATAATAAGTTTTAACCAAAGTATTGTGGACAGACCAAGTTAGCTGTATCTAGCACAATTTTTCTCTGTAACATCTACCCACGTTGGCTTACACATCACAGTAATTCTGCATGGAGCACAACTGTTTGGAGGCTGGGTGGGTAGGTTTTTGTGTTGACTGAAAACACAGACTTGTGTATTCAAAAACACTGCATTTTGGAAATCAAAGATCAGAAATGATTTATTACATTTGTGTGCTGCCCCATAGCCAGTAGGGCTCTCTGGGCGGCTTACAGCAAGACAAGAAACAAAATACAATAATATAATCAAAACTCTACAATGGCAAAAATACAAAATCAATATAAATGCAATACTATACTCATAGTGCAACACTGGTAGATTCTACAGGGCTATTTGCTTTCTAGTGAACATTGCAACACAACCTAACAGACAAAATGAACCCCTTCTTATCAACAATTTTATAACAGAACAGCATGAACAATTATAATATATAATAACAAAATACTATAACCCATGCTCTCAGGACCCTGGCAACAGCACCAATACAAATAAAACTGGCTGTAGAGCGGCATAGTTAAAATGTCCTTTTGAATACAACACAAACGAAGGAATTCGAGGCTTCTGCGAATGGGGCGGCATATAAGAGTTCCAAATAAATAAAATTCAAAATGTCCTCTTCAACTGGTCTGAACACATAAGAGTCAGCTGCATGCACAGAATCCTCAAAACCCTGGATTTTTTTCTACAAAGTGTTACTTGGAACATATTTGTATGGGTATGTTGTTCCCTTAAATATTACTCACTGAGGTGTGTGGCGAGATCTCGTCCAGCATAATTTCAGGGGGCTGGGGATTTCAGAAAGGAGAGTTGTAAAGAGGCAGTTCACACATTACTTTTTTTTTTTTTTGGGCGGGGGAGTACCTAAAAATGTCATCTGACTATAATGCATGCATTTTCAAACTAGTGCTGGACAAATACATTTTTCTATCTGAAGCAACAACAATATTCCTTTGTCATGAACAGTTGTAAAATGAGCAATTAATCTCAAATAAAATGGTTACTTGGTTACATACCCTTGGCGTTTACGTTTTTGGTTTTTGTTTTTTACTATGGGCCGCTCTGTCCCATGACACCTCTATGGTAAAATCTCGGGTTTGAGATGAATTCTAGGACAGATCCAGTTCTGTTTCAGACCGGAAGTGCCAATACGAACGGCTATGGGATGGCCTGGTGTGAATGCACTCCTTCTTCTCTACCTCGGTTCTAACGGAAGTCCACGCCATGTGTCACTCTACTTCTTTTCTATTTCTGTGGCCAACTGAGCCAGGGATCGTCTCTTAGCAACGGAGCGGACGCGGATGCTGCCGCCTGAGAGATAAAGACGCCTGCGAGGTTAAAGATTCGAACATGTCGAAATTTCCCAAAAAGAAGGAGTTGGTGAAAAGCAACAACGTACTTCAGACAGGCCCTCCCTCTAAAGAGTAAGGCTCTTATGATCTCTGGGGACCGTTCCCCCTTTCTTATCTTGCAACGGAAAAAAATCGCCTCATTTTTTTCACGCCCCCTAATTACAGAATATGCCCCACCAAATAAAAGCTTTTAAAAGTGCACCCTTTTTAAGGTGAGAACTCCCTTCGGGAGTATGTCCGAGTTTGTGCAGAATGCCTTCTCTTGGCCAACAGCCCCTGACAATATCTGGGACAGTGGGGAATGCTCCCAAGGTTGACAGTGCATTTGTCTTCCATCCTGGTAGACATCTCTGTGTTTCGATATATAATAACTAAGAGTAGCGAATGAGGATTGCTTTGATGCTTGTTGCTAAGCTATTGGTACTTTTGTGGAATCCTTTATTTCCTGAGAATCGCTGGCACTTTATCACATGGAATCCTGGAATGAATTTGGTTACTGGATTTTAAAACCTCTGTCCAGTATATTTATCTTTCTATCCTCCCTTCTTTCTAGTACTTTGGAAGGTGATCAGGATGATGTGTGAAACTCCCATCCCATTTTTACTTTATGACAAACTGGGAGGTAGGTTGGGCTAAGATATGACTGGCTTGAGTGGATGTCATGACTGGGTAGGTATTTGAACCCAAGTCTCTCCAGTCTGTAAGCACTTCCAGTATGCTACTTTGCCTTAAAGGTTGAGTCTATCCACAGTTTCCTATTTGAATAATTAGCTTTACAATAGAAGTTGCGCTGGGCTCCAAAGAAAGCTAGTCAGAATGATTTCTATGCTATCTACCACATGCTTTAGGTCAGCAGGAGACAAAATTGCAAACCCTTACTTCTTTTATTAGACTCACTGACTTATAGCTGATTCATACTTCACAGCGGAAGCTGTATTTACCACATTTCTGACATTTTCCTTGAGGGGAGTATACAAAATGGGAAGGGGTGGCTCTTAATTGACTGGCAGGAGGTTCCAGATGGAAAAAATAAACACATGAAATGTATAACCACAACATGCTTTTTACATAGCTTGAAAATAGTTTCTTTACTGAACTATAATAAAACATATTCAATAAGCTAGAAGGAGAGAAGGCACATCTGTTCCTAGATATCACTGGATGAGTTTTTATACCAAGCAGGGGGCTTTTAAAAATGGATCCATCTGAGACTTTATTATGTCACATAGAAATAGACTGACTTTCAAAATCTGTGGTTAATACCATCTTTGTTGTTGATTTGTTCCAATATGTTAATGTCAGTGGAGATAGCCAGTCTTTTTCATTTCTTCCATTAGATCTCTTTCTTGCTAGTCGGAAATTAAATAAGTTACTAAATCAGAAAGCTCCCAAGAATGTGTACAAGCACTAAACTCAAATTCATGCTGGAAAGATAGAATATTTTCCTCAAAGTGTACAAACTGCATTCTCTCTATGTTCAGTGGAGTTACTGTGTTACAAACAAGATGTCAGACTTACAAAGGAATTTAACAGAAGATTGTTAAAACCTCATTTAGCCCATATGCCTCAGGAAAATAAGTTTTTCCAGGTATATCAAGAAAATTCAAATCCTAGCACCTCTGCCATATATGCTAATGGGAAAGGGGTTGGGTTTACCAAATTTACCTTTTTCAGTCATGGTCATCAGCTGATTTGGAACCACTAATTGCTGAGCATGTTGAATAGTGCTTGGTTTTGTTTTACTATCTAAAGTTTCCTGGTATTTTTAAATACAAAATTGTTCACTGCACAATGTTCATTATAAACAGGATTATCACTGGATTGTCCTTGTTCATTTTCAGTGTTTACATTTCCCTGGTATTGCCCATACAAAATTGACATATTAGTCATATTAAGCAAAAGGCCTTTCATAATGACTAAGATTTTCTGCCACATTCAATTATGGTTGTAGGTTCTTTCAGCTTAACAAGATTTTGTTTTGCATTTTGTTTTATTTAAATTTGGTTCATAGGATTTTTTGGTCCCTATGAACCTATGAATTGGTGGCTAGGAATTTTGGTCAGCGTGATCTGACTTTCATCCATGCTGCTCCAAGGTAAATAGCTTCTGTGACTGCTGACATCACCTGCTAAGCTCAGCACAAGCTTGCTTTCAACACTCATAACTTCAGCTTAGACTGTTTCAGAAGGGAATCATTTCAGCATATAGTGCCAGCAGTCACACTACTGTCTCACTTAGGGGCAACACAGCTGAGAGCACAAATTGAGAAACACCATGGTTGCCAAAAAATGTCATGTGGTGAGCCCCTTAACTCCAAGCTGGGCATGACATATGTTACACACTTCTGTTTGAGGAAAGATCTTAAAAATCTTTGAAAGAATAGCTAGAACAGTGGGTGGAGTATAGGTGGGGGTAAAGCTGGAAAGGAGCCACAGTGTGTGTGGAGGCAGGCTTTAATTGTTTATCTCTGTTGTGGTCCTGATTGGAATAGTGCCCCCTCATACATACTATCTGCATTTGGAAAAAAGCTTCTGTGGTGTCGGTGGGAGCTTTCCTCTCATTGCAACTGAATTTTTGTTTGTGCAACTAGACTTTCCCTTCTTCACTCCCCACTTGTTGTTTCCCACACAGCCCCATTTACTTCAGACTGACTCCAAACCTCTAAAGTAGATTTGGGGAGCACACAATAAGCTGCAGAGGCATTTGATTCATCAGCACTGTCTATTCTGCTCGGATAAGGGCAGCACTGCATGCAAACCATGTAGCCAGTGGTTATAAATTACCTTGCAACAGGAACACACAGAACCTCATTTCCTGGTTGGTCAGAAATAGCTGGATATTCTCATTGGATGCAGGCTTACCCCCATTCTTCCAACTTTTAGTTACACATAAAAAACAGGACGATTGCTTTCAGATATAAGGCTATAGTGTGCATAGCTTTCTTTGTTCCAATATAGGCAGATGCTCCAAAGCAATGGTACAGAGCCCAAACAGAAGCTTGCCATTATTAGAGGATCCAAGGGCCAAACCAAATTGGTTGCAAAATATATTTTAAAATGAGTCTTAAAGCAGGGATTCCACTGAGATCCTGACTATGCAGAAGAAAATAGTGAACACAGCAAAAGGGTGGAGGCAAGAGAGGAGGCCCTCACTAACAACGTACCCAAAAACTAAAGAAAGGGTGTTTAAATGCATGCTCTTAACTGAAAATCCTTGTTTCACCCACAAAGCATAGAAACAGAGCGAGTCAGAAGGGAACTCCCGGGCCATCTAGTCTGACCCCCACTCACGACATACTCACCACATGCATGTCTAGTCTATCCTTGAACAAAACAGTCTCACTCTCATAAGTCCTAATGATTAGAGTAGTTTGGAGTAGGGATCTTTTAAATCACCTCGGCTAGAAATGGTACATTTGAGACTGATCGCTTGTTATTTAACTTTAGAGGGCCATAGTTTCAGAAAGTTCTTATTGCTGCCTGCTTTAAGCAAAAGGGGAAAATCCCTTGCTGCAAAGAGGCACTCATTACCGCCTTAACCATGGCAACCATCTTGCCATGTCTGATTAATTAGTCAGAAGGGACAAGGATAAACCCTCATCACTCTAGACATTCTGTCTGCATCCTCAAGATCCATAAGCTGAAAAGATTCCAACACAGCTAGGCAAGTAGTTGCCAAAGTCATAGCTCCCTCATATTGGAGTCCACATCAAGGCAGGTTTGAGTGATTTTATCAACAAAAAAATGAAGCAAATTGTTCACGGCAATTGTTACAGCTAACCATGTTGCTATAAACTGTTCAGAAAGTTTTGGCTATTGGGCAGTATAGAAATTAAGCAAGCAGACAGACAGACAAACTGAGCTAGTAACTGCCCTGGTGTTCCTGCTGCATAATCTTAGTAAGCCTACACAATATGGAAAAGAATCACCTGTCTATTCTGTGTAAATGCAGCAGTGGCAGAGCAGTAATTTCTCTTTGCTGACTTCAGCACCATGACATAGATTTCCAGTCAAACTTTATCTTTCATCTGGTTTGATTTGTCCTGAATTGTTTTTCCTGTAGCCATTTGGGGCTCTCTTTCTCATTCCTGGCAGCCTTCAAACCTTTGGCTCTACTAGCTTTTGTGGAGCAAAATGTATTATTTAGCCAAGTTTAAAGGATGATGCTAATAAGATTACAAGATACAAACTACTAATGTACACAGAGCATTATTTGAACTCCCTGTATTAAAACAGCATCTTTCCAAGCTCAGTTTCTTTATTGCCAATAGTTTGCATCACTGGCTTCTAAAATAAATTCTGGTATTGCTTTCAGATTGATTTTAGTCAGGTTATTGTATGTCAGCCTCTAACATCATTAAGATCTTAAGGGATATATGAAGATTTTTCCAAAGCAGAATGACAGGTCAGGCCATCATATCTTTCTATTACTTCAACAAACCACCAGCTAAGCCTTCTGGACCAGATGTCAGAAAGTATTTAAGTTTAGCTTCTGCTGAACTGTAGATAGTGAGTTTGAATCAAGAAGTTGATGGCAGTGTGTTCTCATCTTTTAAGCAAAATTGTTTATCTCTATAGACATATTCAGGCAATTTGTTTTCCCAAGGCAAAAAGGGCAGTTTCTTTCTCAAAGTTTGTTGGCCTATGCCAATAAATTCAATAAATGCATGTTATCGAAAAGTTAACATGTCTACTTGGAAGTAAGTGGATATAGGATTACAGCCTGTCTGATGCAATTAAAACTTCTGGGGGGCGGGTTAGTTTTTAAAAGTAGGACTAGTCAGCATGCCATTATTTAGATCTGAAAGCAGATGACAACATAGCAGTCTTGCTGGCCCTAACTAATACGTTTAATTAGTAATGTGTTTTGTCCTTTTTAGTTATAAGCCTGCTTGCAGAACCTCTCTTTTTCACTTTTAATTGATATTTGACACTGTGGGGGACAATAATTGCCTGAAAACTAAGATAGAAATACAGTAAATAAATAATAAATAGATTTGTCCAGTGCCTTATGCAACCATTAAATTTCTCATCTGGAATATTTCTGGTTGGGAATCTGAAAGATATAACATTCAATTCATAAACTATCTAAGTTCACATGATGCCATCTTACTTCAAGAGACTTGGTTCTGGGACTCAATGGTGGTTGTCTGATTGATTACACATGATCTTTTGTCATGGAAAAGAGGGGCAGAGCTACAGTGGAGGGGAGTAGCTCTTTTTATTTCCACAAAGCTAGAGGCAACTAAATCAGTTGAGAAGACCATATTAAACCCCATCTAACAACTAGCAGGTCCCAGTTACTAATTAAATGCCCTGCAGTACAGAACAGTCTTTACTTGGCACCAAAAAATAATAAAGTTGGCATCAGGTGGGCTTCAGTGGAGAACTCGTTCTACAACTGGGAGGCCACCACTGAAAAGGCCCTTCTTGTTGGCACCATCTGAGACTCCCTCAATTGGAGGAAGCCCCCAGAACTTGACTATAGTGTCCATAGCATCTGCAATCTCCTCCCACCCCCAGCTCTTTTACATCTGGGATTTTGAAGAGCCTGAAGTAGGATTAAGCAGCAAGTCTTAGGTACATTTCAACATACAGGATGATAGAGCAAGCGTTCAGCACTATGTGGCAGTTGCTAGTCATAATAAAACTTTGTCCCCAGTCTTAAAATTCATAAATATCTCAGAGACTTACAACGTGCAATGGGAGGAATTAGGATGACGAAGTGGGGGACAAGCAGTAGATCTAAAACAGGAACCTTTAAAATAGAAAAATCACAAGATCCAGAGTCAAGGATGAAATTTGAACAGTTTGCTTCATACAAACCATATATGAGATATGGATGGATGGATAGCTCGTACACATAGCTAGCATTCTGTTATGACTAGTATGCACTTGCACTGTGGAAAAGTGTGGATAGAGAAAAAATAAATGTAGGGATTGGGCCTGCTTCTCCCAAAATACAATATTCCAAGCTAGAATTTTCAGACTCTGCATCTGAAGTTGTAAAAGAAAGCAAATCAGAATTGTTAAAGTTAATGAGCTCTGGGATTAGTCAAGCAGCTGGTAAGAACCAGACTGCCACTGGTTCAGAGGGAAATACTATAAAACAAGGAGAGTTGGAGCAGGCAGGGTATGGATTTATTAGCCTATTTATTATTGTCAGGTTAAGTGGGCAAACAAATTAAGTAAATTCGGGTATTCCCACTGTCTGGCCCACAAGCAGCGCAAACTTCCCTGAGGGTAGAGTCATCTTTGTTTGTAGGGGAAGGGAGGAAAGGAGTACAGTCTGGCAATGGGCAAAAACTATCTCAGCAGTTAGTGAGATCATTAACTTGATAGATGTTTCTTTCTAACAATTTTTATATTACAAAGCCTACCTAACTCAGTAAAAGACTGAGGAGAGGCTGCTTCTGGTGATTTGTGATTCTAACAGAGTTGCTTTAGTATGCAATATTTAAAACAACAAGAGAACTGCTTGGGAAGAGTAATGAAAAACTCTATTGACCATTCCTTATGATCCTGCTAATGATACTCCTTGTCTATTACATCTTAATATAACAGTAATCAATTTACTCCTCCATTTTGACTCCTCCCCATTTTTGTTCACCTCCAGAAAGATTTGTGCATATTTGGCCTGTATACCCACACTGAATTTTAGAGAATTTGTACAAATCTCCCTAAAAGTTAAACTTTAAAAAGGTTAAATTTGTGCAAATCTTCCCCAAGATAGAAAAACTCCCAGGGCTCAAACATGTTCATTAATAGAGTAAACTTTTGAGGTTGGTCTACAAATGTCTGTGGAGTACATGCCAGGAAAAGGCAGGAGAAGCCACAGCAAGCTGCATAGTGCTTGGAATTCTGAGGAAAGAAAAGTGGGTCAGGAAGCAAGCAAACAACCAGCCAGCCCACAGGGGTGTTTTATTGTGGCATACAAACTTGACCATAGGAATGGGATTTTTTCCATATTCGTGAAATCTTATCTTAGAATAAATGAGTTCGTCTTTAGGATGTCATACAACTCAGTTTTTTCATGAACTGACATAGCAGTAAGGCCTAGTTCACAAAATATTTTTTTCGTTATTACCTATGGATTTGAGATAATTAAATGGTGTTTACAGCAACAGAGGTTAATTGACTAGGATGTATTATCATCAGCAATGGCCACTTTACTTATTTTGCATACATTTAAGCATTGATATAATTGTCAGATATTATTTTTTGCTTTCAAATCTGTTCGCATTTCTCTTTCTCCGCAACCATGCCAACAGAGAATAGTATTTTATAAATCTAATTGTTATACAGTATGCAATATAATGTGCATATTGATAAAGGCAGTACTGCCTTTGGAGGTGTCCAGTATGCCATCTGGTCCATCCTTCCTATTTTATTTGTTTATTCATTATATTTTAATTGTATTATTTTATTCATGTTATTTGTTTATTTTATATTATAGTAGCCTCCCAGAGAACATGTTGCTAACGGGTGGCTTTTAAACAAATGTAATAAAATAAATAAATATATTCTCTGTGTACTAACTGTAATTATGGGGTGACTGGCTATATACATTATAGAAACATAGAAACAGAAGGGGTCTCCCAGGCCATCTAGTCTGACCCCCGGCTCCAGCCGACTCCACTCACCATCTGCTATAAACTGCTTAAAGCTATAAACTAGCTTTAAGTGCAAAGTGGTGTTGGAATTGGGTCACTGAAGCTTGCCACACTTGGAAAGAAAAAGTTCATTACTGCATGAAAAGATGGACCTTCACCAGGATGTTTGTGAAGTTAGGTGTAAACCATTATGATTAAGCCCTCATGAGGTCATGTTTAGCAGCAAGTACAAAATGTTGAGGTATAAAGATGTATGTTAAGATAATGGACCAGAGCTAGGTAGAATGAGATTTTAACATGGGCAGAAAGAGTCTAAAAGAATGAGAAACTTTCTAAACATGATTACCTGAGCTCTACCAGACTATGCCTGCCAAATACATATCTATAAGATCTTAGTGATGACTGCTTTGTTGATTGAGATGAATAAAACGTTAGTTTTAATAAGAGCTATACTAGCCCCAATTTCTATTATGCTTCTAATGATATTTTTCTATTGCATGTGGAGATGTGTTTGGTTAGTTTCATCATTCCAAAGCTTTGTTATTTTCCATTTGAACAAGAAAAAAATGTGGTTCCATTTTGTGTTTTATGCCTTGAAGCATACTTCAGGAACCACAGCCCTTTAAATTCTTGAAACCCAGAACATTCAGCTGGGATTTTTACAACTGTTGCTGAGGAGAGTCTATCCATTTAGCTGCTGCTTTCTTTTTTGGTAATGTGAATCACAAGATACATCTTTCCAATAAGGAAAATAAGCTAACTGGATGGATCAGGAATGTTTTGCCCATCTCATGGTGAAGTGGACTGTAATCCATGAAAGCTAATGTCACAATACATTAATTAACTTTTAATTTGCCAAAAGATTCTTTTTTGCTGTGACTGTGGATCCCATGACTTTGGGATGTATCTATGATGGATTTTGATTCTTGTATCAGACACAAGGCCCATTCCCAGCAGACTGCTTGAAGTGATACATGCCTTAACCACATTCCTGTTTTATTTGTGTAGATAGGTAATACATGGAATTCAGCACTGTAAAATACATTGTACTTAGAAACATTAAATCAGTTGACATTAGAGTAAGCAAATGTGAAAGTTTATTGTTGGGCGACACTCATACTAAATGTAACTTATTTTCATGTGCACATTTGATTTTAGCCTTTGGTACCTTTCTGGATCAACCTCTGTTGTAAACCCTCAGGGTGCTTTTGCTGAAGCAAGAAGAGGAAGATTTCCCATCTGGCCCGAATGGAATGAAGCCGACATCAATGCTGAAAAGTGGGATGCAGGAAAAGGTGGGAAGGAAAAAGATAAATCTGGAAGAAGTCCTATTTTGGTAAGTTTGCTGTAGTAGATCCACTTATACATGTGAATTTTTAAATACTTAAAAATCTTCTTAAGCACACTTTTTAAAGCTTGACATTCTGCAGGTATAAAGCTTTCATAGTCTCCAGGTATCCAGACCAATTGAGTGCTAGTCTGCAGTGTCTGCATCTTGTACTGAGCATCAGATCAGATTAAGAATTTTGCTGGTGTACTGCTCACTCCTGGGCTTCATAGAATTGACTTTTCCAGTCTAGTGGCAATGGAACCTAGATTTTATGAATTCAAGTAGTTAGATAGACATAGTTTGTAAATTTGAGTTATATGGCAATGATCAAGAAAAAGCAAAGTGTTGCAATATATTTATTGTGCTGAACGAATGAAATGGATTTTTCATTATTCTGATTATCTTGTGAATATGTAGGTAGAATCTAGCCAAAGCTAAGCATTTTTAAGTGCTACTGATTTTCACTGGAGTGATAAAGGTAGTTATATCTACATCTTGCATTTAAATCAATAAGATTTAAACATAGAATCCACAAATTTTGAGACCAGTCCAACCACTGTAGAGACAGAGGAAGCAACTGGATACTGAATCAGACCCATGTGTTGTCGTCTGTGTTCTTTAACCCTTGCATAAGCCACACTCACCAAGTTTGCATAAAATAGCCACTGTAAACTGGGTCTAGGTGTGTAAACTGGAGCCAAATGCTCTGCAGTTTACAATGGATCACTATTAGGCTTGGGTTGGAATCTGTCCCTCTACTGTCCCCAGATTCTCTCTCTTGCTTGGCCTAGTTCTGTACAGTGAGCCAAGCCAAGAGGAACTGAGCAAATGCTAATGGACCCCCAGTTGTGCAACTGGCAACCTTCCTTGTCAGAAAAGGCTGCAGGATGTGGAAAAGGCGTTCTGAGAGTAGGCACACTAGCTGCCCTTCCTGTCAACCAATCTTCTTCCTCACTGTCTGCTGGCAGCAGTGGCATGTATGGGAAAGAGGTGTTCATGGGGAGAGGGGCACACCATTCACCGCAACCAACCTTCCTCCCTGTCTGCTGCTGCTGACAGTGGCAGTGTGCACACAAAAAAGAGGCTCTGCCAGGTGCCCTTTCCAGTGACCAACTTTCTTTCACATTTTTGCCGGCAGCAGCAGCAATACACATGTGGGGAAGAGGGGTGCTGCAAACAGGCCCACAAGCTGCCATTCCTGGTGATAAGCCTTCTTTCTCACTCACTGCTGCCACTGCCAGTACATGAGGAAAAGGTGCATTTCTTGTGCAGCATATGAGGTTGAATCCCTGCATAAACCATAAGCACCATAAACACCGAGTGCTCTTGTCAGGAATTTGGACTCTGGGCTGCTGCAAAGCGGGCCAGAGTCTGGGGAGCCAAGCCCAACTAATCCCGTAGATTCCTACCTCCAAATGGATTCCTCGCACTTGCCTAATTGATATTTTAGACATGATTCTAAGAAAGGACATGATTAGAAAATCATCCACTTGCCTTTGAATTGTGTTGAATGTATTAAGTATACACATATAGGACTGGATTCAGACATTGTAAGAACAGAAGTATTGAAATCAACAGGACCAGTTAGTCATGACTAAAAGCAGTGATTTTAGTGTGTTTGCCCTAAGCATAGCTACGTTTGAATGCAACCAATAATGGGATTAAATATTAATTTTTGTAAATTAATGGTTTATACAGCATGTCTTTGAAGATCCAGAAGGAAAAATTGAACTTCCACCTTCTTTAAAAGTGAGTTTCTGGAAAAGGCCTCAAGAAATTTTAATCAATAGGGTAAGAATACTTTTTAAATTAGTAGAAAAAAACCCAAGATGTTATTATATATTTAATTACTTACATGGTATTAATTTGTCCTTTCAGTGCCAGGCAAAGCCTTTTAAATTCCTTTTTAATTTTCTTCACTGCTTTTTTCTTTTAGTGGCATTTTTTCTGTCATACTATTCATCTCAGAACTATCCATTTCATTGTTTTTAAGAACATATAATGCCAAGTTTGAAACTGGAGCTTCTGGTCATTCTGAATGTACCGCACCATGAATCATGGGTAGAGATTTTCTACCTGTGTGGCAGATACAACTCACAGAGCCTTTTAATATGGCCCATGGTCATTCTTGCCACCCTTCATATATCAGTTATGCTTTTGTAAAATCCCCCATTGAAGCCAGTCTTTGTTAACATCACAGCTGGGGAGGGAACGATTAATCTACCCACTAACTCCACTGAGGGGCTTTTTTCTAAGCCTAATAACCAGGATGGTGTGTGTGTGTGTGTGTGTGTGTGTGTGGTGGGGATCCTTCTGCAAAGTGCATAGAGCCTATTGTGTGCACATGTGTGTGAGGGAGAGAAGGTATGTGTGTTATGTATGAAAATGGATGGAGTTTTGTGTATGGGATTGTTTTTAGATATTGGTTCTTTGTGTGGTTATCTGTCAGTGCATGGCTGGCAGTAGATCCCACCCACTTTTTGCTTTGGGCTCTCTCACAATGGCAGTTCCCAGAATATAAGGCATGAGCAGTCAGCTTCAGACTAAGATTCAAATTGATCCTCCTGAGTCAGTTCAGGCAGCTTCAGAATCAGTTTCAGGCAAATTGGTCTGTTTCCTAAATTGCCGAATTGGGTCCAAACCGAATCTTCTGGTCTAGTACAGAACATACTCACCCACTAATGCCCATCATTTCTCAATATACTGGAAACTTAAGCACATTAACTCCCTTTGCACTCTAACTTTTTGCATTAGACGCTCATGATAGAAGCTAAACCCTGTCTATATCACGTCCATTTCACTTTGGAGCGTGAGGAAAGTTCCCCTTCCCCTAAACCAATGTGTTAAAAAGAAATTCTGTCCAGTTAGCAAGAGATTCCATTCCATTCTGTTATTACTATGCAGAAATTTAACTGCAGCTATTCCTCTTCAAGTGCTATTTTTGGTTAAAAGGTTGGACACAGTCAAATAAAATATTTCAAAAGAATATTTTGACACCTGAAAATGCATGGTGTGGACAAAGATTAGCAATATAGGCTGTTTACTTGGTAGATCTTCAGCACAGTACAGTATCTTTCTAAACTAGATTGTGATTCATTGTGCTCAAAAGGCTTGGTATAACACAATGCAGTCTGACTCAGATTTGCAATTTAGTCAAGAACAAGTATATCCTCAATAGATCTGAAGATCACCCAAAGGACATTTTTGCAGAAACATAATGTGATTTAAATTAAAAGGCAGTTTTCCCACCCATAAATCTAGTACCATTCTTTGCATCACCTTCCGTATGGCTCATTGATCTGTTGCAAGACTCTCTATTTAGACTCATAAAATACTAGAGTTGGAAGGGGCCTATAAGGCCATCGAGTCCAACCTTGTTCTGCTCAGTGGAGGACTCCAGTTTTGTTTATTATTGAAGAATCATTTGCTGTTTATGCTAGGTAAGATGTTTTAAATGAAGATGTATGCACAGAAAATTCTACACTGAAAACAATTATCTTCTATCAGTTTGATAGTCTTTTTGACTGAAAGAAAACTATTCCTGTCTCATGAAAGATTGGGGACAGATGTTATTTCAGAGAGTTCAAAGTGGGATGACAGAACTGTCGTTGCCTGTGGTGTGGATGATCATCCCACTATCATCTCTGTTCAAAGCTTTCTTTCCTGCTGTTTGAAGTGCTTCCTTAACCCAACTTGCCAAAGTATAACAGTGGAACAAAAGAAAGGAACATGTATGCCATGGAAAATGATGTCTCTAATATTCCCTTTTCATCTCTTTAAAAATCTCTTGCCTGTCTCCCACCTTTTTGCCCACTCAGAAACATAGAAACAGAGCGAGTCAGAAGGGGTCTCCCGGGCCATCTAGTCTGACCCCTGGCTCCAGTCAGCTCCGCTCACAACATGCCCACCATGTGCACGATATGCCCACCATGTGCATGTCCAGCTTATCTTTGAACACCCTCACCGATGGGCCTCAACGACCTCTCGTGGCCGCCTTTTCTGTTGCCCCTTGACAATTCCACTAATGTCCCATTTATGATTTAGTTCAGTTTCATAATCTATTTCAAATGTTTCACCATGATTTTTAAAACACTTACCTTTCTTTTAAAATAAATGTTGTAGAATGTGAATAGAATGTTCAACTTCTAATGCCATTAATAATTTTTCACAAATATGTTTATGAAAATAATTAAGCCTCCTTTTTAGGTGCCCGTCATAGTAAAGAATGAAACTTGGTTTGACCTCTTTTCAGCCAATGAACATTTAATGAGCAGTGAGGTATGTGAATAATCGCACTTATTAAACAATAAACCATATTACTTGTGTAGATGAATGGAAAAGCTATTTCCTGTTCAAAAGAGGTAGGACAAGCCCTAACATGTAGCAAGGTGAAGTAACTTTCTTCATGCAGCACCATGGACGCAATGCAGCAATGGGCTCTCTCTCTTGGTTCATTATTGAAAAGCAGAATAAATGGGAATTTGTTTTTGTGTTACAAAATGCTAAAATAAATCGTGTCAAAGGAAAGATAAGAACAACTTAGTCAAAGGAGTGAGCCACTATCTACTATCTTTCCACCACGGTGCCTGACTTCCATGTGTTGGATATCCCATCTGCTCAGGGCTAGAAATGTTAAGAGCCAAAATAAAAATGTGTGTGTGGGTTTGGGGCAGTCCCTTTTGCAGGACTTTCATGTCTATGTATCTACAGTTTTAAACCCCAACTTGTTGGATCTATAGCCTCTATTTTTCAATGGTATGGAACATGAGACTACATGCGGTGTATGTATATAGTACCCTAGATTGATGGGAGCTTCTCCATAGATTGAGCATGGTAAGAAATAGATATTGTTCAATCAATCAATGGGTTAGAGCATAAAATGGAATCTTATTTCCCCCATATGTTAAGCTGTGCAAGCTTTGTGACTGTCTCCACAGTGATTAAAAATTTGTCTCACTGGCTGCAGTTCAAAGGTAAATGCATACTAAACATTTCACTGTCTAGTCACTAGATTCTAACAGAACCTTAAGTATTTCATATATAATGGTTGTATTGCTTAATTGTATTATTTGCTGTTAATCCTGGTTTTTTATATTTGCTGCTACTTTTAATTTATTAAAATGTGTTATCACTCATGGTTTTAGATTTTGTAAGCTGTTGTAAGCAGTTCTGAACTACTTTTTTTTTAAAGGTAAAGCAGGATCAAAACATTTAAAATAAGCAAAATTCAAAATAATGCATTCAGGGTTGGCAGTAGTGATCAATTATGTGGTGACACACTCATGGTACAGGAGTAATCTGAACTCCAAAGCAATAATGTGGGGCTCTGCTCCTTCTTCATTATGGTACTGTTCTGCTAATCAATCATTCCTGCTACTTTAGAATGATTGTGTTTGATTTTCCAGTTTTCTCAGATTTGCCATTTCCTACAGTCTAATGATGCAGGAGGTAGGCCAATAGACTGGAAAAACATTTTCTGCTGACATTTTTGCACGCCTGGGGAACAGACCTGTCAAATAAATGCCCCATGTTCTGATGGCAAAGTGTTCTGAGAATCCAGCATCTTGTCAGTAAGAAGGAAGCAACAGCAAGACTTTTTTCAGCCTTTCTGAAATAGCAGAATAGCACTTTTATATTAGATGGTTTCACTGAGTCTTTCTGATCCTCCCACACTTCTGGGGTCAGGGACTACACTGAGAGGCTTTTGAACCTGGGGGATCCATAGCCTCTACCTTGTCTGTCCTCTGGCCTTTCTCCAAGGCACCTACTTCCCATTCTTCCAGTGTTGCAATGGATAAACTTCCCATGCTGGCTGGAGGAGGGGCTTGGGGAAGATCCATTCAGAGGAGTAAATCATCACCATCTTATGGTTGCTCGGGTGCTGCTTGTGGACCATAGGATTGCTCTCTTCATTTTTAAAATTTTTAATAAACACTTTAAACATTTGTAAATGTTCATAATACAATAATCTAGTCTTACAAAAGATTTATACAATTTAAAAATGTAGAACTTTAGAAAAAAACACACACATACACTAAGATACGCTTGTCATATTAAAAGCCTCTTTAAAACATTATATTAAACATACCAAAACAAAATATGAAGGGTGCAGTCCCATGGAGATGAATTTGGAGGTTCACACTCATTGAATGCAGAGCAGAAGCAAGAACAAAACCAATCTTTTCCTTCCTGTTCTGTCTGCAGTTTTGCTAGATGGGTGTTTTGGGCTGTCTAGCAACAGAGTTTCAGTGGAGGAGGAAAGGAGGCTGGAGTGGCTTTCTGATACCTCATATTCTGGAGGCTCTCTTTTCTTCCTTTCCCATTCCCTCAAATGCCTCTATTACCCTTCTCCAAGCTCACTTTCTTAACCTCAGGGAGCAGCTGGTCCTGTTCTTTCCGTGCCAGTTAGCTCTGAGGTAAGAGCTGGGCACCATAGCTATCCTATGGCCTTTCAGACAATGACCAGGGACCATAAGATCATTCCTTAACCATGCAAAACTTTATTACAACTGTGCACTCACATATTGAGATGTATCGTTCTTAGTAAAATCTTTATATTATAATGATTTATATTATAATAGAGGTGAAGATTGTATCTTCTGCCTTCTGTTTCCAAATGCTCTTAAATTGATTCCCTTCCTGTCTAGCCAAACTTGCTCATTTTAATCTGAACTATTTAATTTCTACATGTAAAGACTTGTTCAGCCAGACTTAGATTGTGAGGATTTGCCTTCCTTACTTCTCTGTGTAGAACTTTGTTTCTTGTTAATTGCCATTGTGTATTTCATTATGCAGAAGAACTTGAAATTACAGATTGTGGACAGAGCTCAACAAACCTTTATTATTTCCTCCAACATCCTCCCAAACCTTGTTTTAGCTGATGAGATGGATAATAAGTGAAATCTATGCTGTTTGGAGACTGTATAATGCAAGCGGTCAAAGTGCTGATGCTAAAGCAGCCAATGAAGTACCTCCACTTTTGTGGAAACCATGGGAACATATATATTCATTATGCAAAGCTGTCAAGGGACATATGCCATTGTATAACAGCTATGGAAAATATGTGGTAAAATTGTACTGGATGGTACGTACTTTTCTTCCTTTTTAATTTGAATTAGCTTTTCATATAATTTTTTATTAAATTGTATAGGACATTTTTTCCCTATAACACAATCCATCCACTTCCAAATTAGTGAATGGTGGCTATTGTTAAGAAATTATTTTACTATTAGAATGTGGTTTTTACTTAAATAAAGTAAGGGCTGAATTTAACATGCAGAAAAACTTGCACCACTGCAACTTTCTGTCTAATTCTGAGTATCAAAAAGAGCTTCCTAATACTAAGTAGGTATATGCATTATTTATGTATGCTTCACCTGAGCAAGTTTATAAAAATAATGAGTCTATGTCCTGTGGACTAAGTTTACCTAAGGTGTTTGCTGACATCATGATTGCATCATCATCATCATCATCTATAAGTGTTTGTATATGTTATATACATAGTTCAGGGAACCATGATTGGCCCTTAGTCCCCAGAGACATTCCATTGTGCTCAACCAAAAAAAGAAGCTTATGACCCATTACTAGAAAGAAAATATCAAAATGTACTTTGTATGAAGGCCTGTAGGCAGCTGAAATAGCCCTCAACCGTCACACTCAAGGCACGCATACAGCTTTCTGTTTTTCAGGTCTCATATGTTTTGAAGGGAACAAGTTTTTATCTCTTGCTGGAAATAGACTTCAGTAGTAGGTTCCACACTATAGTAGCAGTGCAAGTAGATGGCGCAATTGGATTGTACTGCCTGGATACGGCCACTGAAGCCTGTGTGGTGGGAGGAGGTCTGTGCAAGAGAGACAAGGGCAGGCTAAGGTTGTGTAGTGCACATATCACAATAGCAGCAACTGAAGGGTAGCTGGAAGCGGCATCCACTCAGCCCAGTGACATTGGACTGCCTTGCATGACACAGCATCCTCCACCATGGCTTATTTATCCCACTGAATTTGCAGAGCATGTGGGGGCACCATCTTGCATATCCAAACCCTACTCAGGTGTTGTCATGCCATGACAGTCTGGCAAGCATGGTCACGTGAAGGCTAAACATAACCCTAGAACAGATTATGGGTTATGCAAAAGTTGTTCAATACTCCCATATCCACATTCACACAACACAACAGTCCCTGAGCCGGAATTTTAAATGCAAAGTGGTGAAAGATAGAATATTATCACCTTGCATTAAGAACTATTGGAAACTTACCAAACACTGCCTTCCAGCATATATACAGGTATATATCCAGCCCAGCTCCCTGCCATCCATCAGCCAGCACTAACTTCCAATAGCAACAGAGCCCCACTTGTCCTCCTAGATTGTTGCTCAGTAGCAATATCCCACCAGCACTACTTTCTAGTACATAACTATGAGAATGATAATGACAGACTATTTTTGTCCTTATGCTTTTATAACATGAGAGTGTTCCAATTAGTCATTTTAGTTCTTAAAAGCATATTCTTCCCTTAGCAAAAGGCCTGTGTAAATTGAGGGATAGTTCACTGATGCTTTGCAAATCATGGTCAAAGTACTAGTTGTATTCTTGTCTGATAAAATCTACCACTCTTTCAAGTTTGTTTTCCTTATCTATTAACACTATCTATAATAAGGGTCAAGTTATTGGATGGTCACACAGATTTCTATAGCACCTCACTTTTTCATTGCCATCCCCCTTTCTCTTTTATAGGGTTGCTGGCGAAAGATCATTGTAGATGATAGTATACCTTTCAATGAAGACAATTACATGCTGCTTCCAGTTACAACATGTGAAATTGAACTTTGGCCGCTGATATTATCTAAAGCCATAATTAAACTAGCAAATAATGAGTATGTTCTCTAAGTTTTCCTCTTTTTCAATTATGAGATCGAAATAGAGCAATAAAGCAGCAAAACTCCATACTGAGTGAATGCTTGTTTTCTATGAATTAGTGTACTGGTAATGTACTTTATGAATCTTGTAATAATCAAAGAAATAACCTTAGATGCAGTAGAAGCCAGTGCATATTTGCACTAATGAACAATAAAGATTGACTTTGATCTCTCAGGCTTCTGTCAGGAACGGGTGCCTGATTTCCTACTTTGACACATATAGGCTTCACATGCCCAGAACCAGTCCACTCATGAAGAAGGGTGAGGTGCCCACATAAGCTGGAGGAGCTAGAAGAGGGCAAGTTGCATCACTCCCTGCTCCAGTCAGAGACCCAGCCTGGAGAGTCTACTGACCTCCACTGGGTAGAAAGCCCACCAACCTATGTTCCACAGTGGCATTTGCCACAGTGAGAAGGCAGCCAGTGGTACTCTTCAGAGAAGCTGCCAGCCCTCTGTTGCTGTGATGCTCTAGGGCTCTTGTGAGATCTTAGCTCAGGGATGACACCTCATTATATCTTGGCCATGTGGTGAGATCTTGAAAGCACCCAAAGCCATGAGATTGGAGGTCCCTGCTGTCACCACCATGCAGTCCTCCTTCCCTGTCACTGCCAGCTCCAGTCCAGAAAGCTTGAATGCATCAGTAAAAGAAAGTTCGCAGGTACCCCAAGACTGGTGGTGGCAGAGAGAGAGGTAGTGTAGTGGTACAACAAGTTCTTTTGCTTTAGGCAGTGAAAGAGGTCACACCAGACCTGCACATAACACATTGAATATTGTTCTTGCAAGGTCTCTTAAGCTTTAGAAGTGGCTTTTAGGGGTTCATGTGCAGCTTCAATAGGAAGAAGGAGATGCAAAAGCCCCAGTCTCCGTTTTGTTCAGTTCAAGGTCTCCAAAGCAAGGAAATGAATGAAAAGTTGGGAAATATTCATGGTGTTAGGGTTAGTACATGTTATGAGTATCACTGTGTATCTTGACATCGTGTTAGTGATTGGGAGGGCAATAACCAAGAGTGGTCTTGCCACCTTGCATATCTACCCCTGTTGATCAATAATTCCCTTATTGTGTTCTTAATTACACAATATTTGGGTGTAATTCTTATTTTGGTGGCACAGGATGAATTACATAGACTGGAGGCAAATATTCTGACAACAGCATGAAGGCATTGAATAAAAATAGTTGTTACAGCTGCAGAATTAGACTGAGAGAATGTAGACTGGCAGTCTAACATCATGTATGCTTAAGTTGAAACAAAAATATGAACAGGTTTATTATGGCATATGTTTTGTGTACTAGAGCCAATATGCACAATATATATGCCTTAATATAAATCTTTCTATTTCTCGGGTACCTTAAAACTCTTGTTTTTACAGCTGCTGACTAACAAGACCACCGTGAAATTTGTTATATGTAAGTCTGTGCATTAACTTGCAGCAGCTCGTATTTCCAAGAGGAAGACTTTGGCCCTATTTTTCACTCTAATTTCTTTAGAACTGTGACAACCTAAGTTACTAAATACTGCATGTTGCAATCTCTTGTTTCTAGAAAGATAGGAAAAGAGATACATTGCCTTTTAGCTATTTTTGAGTATGCAAGTATTACTTGCAAGTAAATATGAATCGGTGAAATACAGCAATCTGGGAATGTGCTATTGGTAAATATAGATATAGAATTAAAATTGTAATATCATATTGGTGTACTTATATGCATATTTGCTTTTTTATAGTATAAATGAAATAGGAAAAAGAGAAATGGGGGAATTCACAGTTTTACATGCCCTTACTGGATGGATACCAGAAATTATTCCTCTCCAGTAAGTATAAGGTGTTCCATTGTGTGTGTGTGTGTGTGTGTGTGTGTGTGTACGTGTACTTGATTCATCAGGCTTTTGGGGAAAAACTAGTTTTAAGCACTCACACTTTCAAAGCAATCAAAATCAGTTCTGTGAAAGTGTTTTTTAAAAAAAATTCAAGTGCTTTCTATCTTTGAAAATCAGAACTTTTGAGGCATGTTGTTACTGAAGTCATTTTAATTGGTTGGAAAAGACTTAGTGATTTCCATTGTAATCAATGGCTTTTATGAACTTTGGATCCAACCCAACCATACTGTTCCTGTCTGCCTGCTCTCCACTCACTTGTAAAGCTATGACTGCTGAAGCTCTTTATGCTTGCCTTAGCCACCTGGTTGCCTTACCTGAAAAATGACATTTTTGCGGTAGAAAAAGTACAGAGAAGGGCAACAAATTTGATTGGGGGCTGGAGCAACTCCACTATGAGGGGCTACAACAACTGTTTAACTTAGAAAAAGGCAAGTAAGGTGAGACATGTTAGAGGTGTTTAAAATAATATATGGTGTAGACTCTAGAGAAAATGGAGAGGGAGACATTTTTCTCTCTTTCCCATAGCACTAAAACCCAGGGTCATCCAATGAAGCTGATTGGTGGGACGTTTGGGACAGATTAAAAAGAAATACTTCTTCACACAACTTATAGTTAAATTGTGTCATGGGTGGAGCTGGCTGGAGCAGGAGGCCCCTTATGACTCGCTCTGTTTCTATGGGATTCATTGCCACAGGAAGTGGTGATGGCCAGCAATTTGGATGGATTTAAAAGGGGACTGGACAAATTCATGAGGGAGGAGGCTATCTGTGGCTTCCAGCCTTACTGGCTGTGCTACCTCTTATGAGGAGCTGTTTAGCCACTGTGCATACAGAGTGCTGGACTAGATGGAGCTTTGGTCTGATCCAACACAGCTTCTCTTATGTTCCTTTTTGTTTAAAATTAATATAGTTCTTGTGTTCACTTGCTTCCCCTCCCTGCCTCAGTATCCTAGAAAAAATGAAGTATCTTCCATGCTTTCCTTTCTTTTCCAAGGTTATGTACATACCTGGATTATACTAGAAGACATGCTGTCAAGTCATTATAATGATTCTACTTATAACCATACCATTTAAGTAATAATAAAATATAGTTGGACTTCCACAGGTCACAAAAACAAACATTATATTTGCAGTAAATTAACAGCAGGCAATTGTGTTTTAAAATGATTTTGCTTATTTTTTAAAGATCTGGATATTTAGATAAAGTTTGGGAATTCTTAAAAGATGTAGTGCCAGAGTTTAAGTTACCAGAAGAAGTACCACCTGAAGCTGAAGCATCACTCCAAGATACAAAAAAAGATCTAAAAAGCTCTGAGATCAAAAATGATACTATTCCTATAATTAAACAGCCAGAGAAGCCAGAAAAGGCTGAGAAAACAAGCAAAGGTATGAAATTATAGAAACTCCAAATGTTATGCACTTAAAAGTGTGTGTGTGGAAGGGGTGGAGTGGCAGATCATTGGCTTCTCTCATGAACAAAAGACTTTAGATCCAGTGGATGCAAGGCTACAACCACTGTGCCCTTACCCTGCCCTTGCGCATTTTCATTTTAGGGCTTTCAGGTTCATGCTGTCATTACTGATGACATTACTGATGGTAGACCTTTTATCATAGAGCTATCTGTACACACAAACAAGGTTTCCTGGAGTGAACAACACAACACACTCACTGCTGGTGGCGCTCGTTCCCAATGGCAGAGGAGAACCTTCTCCATATCCTAAAAGCTATTGGACAGCCACCTAAGCATTAAAAAGATCCTCTGTATTCAGAGATACATTTTATGTCTTTTCTTCTTTCTATGTATTCAAGTAATATTAAATACTTCTAGGTAGTCAAATGCCAGTGCTGAAAAGATATTACAGGGAGGTGGAACTTGAACTCAAAATTTCAGGTTATTATTAAGTATATCTAACTCCCACTGAAGTGGAATTAAGGAGTAACACTAGTCCTGTAGTACTAAGCTCCTGTGAACACAGAGGAACTTAGCTTAAACATGAACACCTCAGTGACCTTAAACTTTATTGATTTCAGTAGAACTTAAATGGCAATAACTGTGCACTAGATTATGTGTTCATTTGTTGGACTATAATTGGAATTCTTTCTAAAAATGTGCCCTATTCTGTATTAATTTTTATTGACCAACTTTGCAATACTATGTAGATTTTCCTTTTCAGAACTTTAACAAATTCCCTGCAAGGAAAGGTTACAGCATTTGGGAATTTTTAGATTTAAAAAAGGGGGGTGGAGTATGTGCAAAGTTATATAAAATGGAATGAAGAAAAGTGAATTGTACTGATCGGTCATCCAAATTAGCTATCCAGTGGGAGCTTCAGAACAAATGATACAACACATAGATGAACTATGGAATTTGCTGCCACAAATGATGGTCACTAACCTGGAAGGCTTTAAAAAGGATTAGACAAATTCATGGAGGTTCAGTGGCTGATGACTACCAATGTCAGAGGCACTAAACCTTTTAGTAACAATTGCTGGGAAGCATGAATAGGAGGGTGCTATTGTTCTCATGGCCAGCTTGCAGATTTCCCATATGTTCATGCATTCATTTATTTTCTTTAACAGAAAAGTCAGATATTCTTGGAAAGAAGAGAAGTAAAAATGGTGAAAAGGATAAAATGAAGTCAGGACGATTGTCTTCTGAATATCAAAGTTCTATTCAGATGTTTATTGATGGTAAAGTATAAATGTTCCTAAATATATGTAACAACTCATTTTAATATTGTACACAGAATTGATCATAACTCTTAATAAAAGCACACACTTGATGAATGAAGCATTTTGTTCAGCTAGATGAGCCCACAGAATGTTGTGGAAGACTACAAGAAACAGGAATGACTGCCAAAAGCAGTCAGAAAATAATTCACCAGTATATTCAAACTGATGACATGCCAATATTGACCCACATTTCTATGCTTGTAGCAGTTTACTTCCAGTTCAGACATATACTACGTGCATTGTAATCTTTAACACATTACTAATGTTTTGGATTTGCTGAACTTAATTACTAGTTCACATGCTACCCTTTGAATCAGTGACCATGGGGAGGCCAGCACTGCTTGCCTACCTGGCATTCTGTGGACTTCCTCTCCATTCTGCTTAAGAAAGACTGATGATGCTTTAAGTCCCAGTTGCCCTTTCCTCTTTCCCCCACTCATGTCTCCATTATATATTCTCAGCAGAGCAACTTCTGACTGTAGAAGTCTCTTGTCAAGCACTTCTTCAGTGCTGCAGTCTTTTTTCCCCTCTTCCCTCATACAGGGTGGCGCAGGGAAAGGGGAAATTTTGCACCTAGGAGTTGGTGACCCTGGGGCTTCGGCAATTGTTTGGAACCAGCACGACCTCGTTTAGAACCCCTTGCCATTAGTTATAATGGAGCAGTGGAGTGGTGCGCAACGAGCATTCCCTGCAAAAGCCTTTTATAAGAACTGTGATAGTGTGACTGTTCTGCAAAGGGAATTTCAGCATCGTTACCAGTTAGGACAACATGATGGTGTTCCATCTGCTCATGCGATTACAACATGGATGCATCATTTCAAATAAACGGGTTCAGCCTTAAAAAAGAAGTCCCCAATTGGTGTTCGAACAGCCTGCACAGCAGAGAATATTGAGGCTGTTTGAGCTGCCCTCGTGAGAGGTCCTTGCTGCTCCATTCGACAACACGTATCATTGCTACATTTGGGGCGATGAAGCATGCAATGAATACTGTACTAGTTGAAGTTCCATCCCTACAAATTGCAAATTGTGCAGGAACTCAAACCTGAAGTTTCAACAGTTTGAACAGCAAGGAGCCCCTATGCATACTGCCAACAATTGATGGCAGCTATTCAGCGATTGCTTGGAAGGTGTGTCATTTCACACAATGGTGACATTTGATGGCCTCTGAGATCCCCAGATCTCACTGTGATTTTTTCTGTGGGGACATCTTAAAAGCCAAGTGTGCCACACATGTCCTGCAACCATTTCTGAAATAAAAAGGAGGACTGAAGAGGAAATTGCTGGCATTCTTCTTGACATGTTACATCAAGCAATACAGAATTTCCACCACAGGCTGTCAGAATGTGTACGGAGAAATGGACAACACCTTCATGATGTTATCTTCAAGACATAAAATGAATATTGAGTGAATATTGATATTAATTGCATTTTCCTGTACAATACATTTCATCATACAATATATTTTGTAATGTGTTTATTCGTGCATTGAATGTCAATTGAAAATTTCCCATTTCCCTCTGCCACCCTGTACTTGCTATACAAGGTTAGCCATTAGAGAAAGCAAATGAAATTTATGGTGGATAACATTTTAATAGTAAATAATTCTTAGTAGTGTTCATTCATGGAAAGTAATAGAAGCACAAGAAAATTAAAGAAGCATGGAAGAAAAAATACTTGTTCAATATCTTGCATGAAATGCTTTTTTCTTTTTTCTTATTTCTTTCCTTTTTCCTAAGTACAAGAAAAGTGTGTGTGTGATTTTAACTACTGTAGTCATCAAATGTCTCCCTTCCCACCCATCCCATTCACAATGCCTTTGTACTTTCAACTTGAATTAAATGTGTGCAGTTTAAGAGAAAGGCTTTAAATACAACTGATACCACAAAATCACTTATTTGGAAGTAGCTCAATACATATATTTCAGAATGGGTTGCTGAAGTGAAGCAACATAAAAAGTTAGTTTCATAGGCATTTCTTGCCTTTGTAGCAACACAATACCTAAAAAGAGATATTATGTGTTAATATGTTGTTATGTACAGCATTATTTCATTTAACTATTTAATGGGTTCTTTTTATAGGTTCTGCAGTACCACTGCAGCCACAGATGGTAGCATACGCTTGCTATATGCCTCTGTATGTGTCTGAAAAAAAAATATTTGTATTAGAGAAAATGGTAAGGATGTGTATACTTTGTCTTCTAATTATGAACTGATGACTATATGAAGCCAAGGGACATATCAGTTGAGAACAAGAAACATACTTTTGAAAAGAGCTAATGTGTAGGCAATTTGTTTGCCTTTGTATAGGCAAAACAACCTAAAGTACCTTGACCTGTGAAGGTAAAACATATATTTCACAAACATTGATTTTCCAAGCATCCTGCAGTAGTGTATGGAAACCTGGAAGACCAGCTTGTACAGTACCTTTATTTTTGTCAAGGAGATCCACCTAATGTTACAAGAGACATCCCTTGTGGTGTCCTTCTATGGCTGAATCAGACTCACCATATGAACAAATTACACAGCTGTCCAAAATATAAAGCAACACAAGAGGCAAATGATCAAGCACAAATATTTCCATCTGTAATGGAATTACGAGATAGCAGTGGTAAAGATCCAAGCAAAGGTTATAAAGCACAGTTAAGCAGTATGGTATGATACACAGACCAGAAACAAAGTTAAATGGGAGTCCCAAAGGTCAGTAGCCCAGAGATTTTTCTTGCCTTGTCTTGTAGCCAAGTTTGGAAAACAAAGTACCATACAAGGCACTAGAGGTGAAAGAATAATGTCTTTCCAGGACTGCTGAGATGGAAGGCCTATACAGCCAGAACTTCCTAAGGTCCACTTAGAGTACACAATGTATTATAGGCCATCTGGCAAATATCCTACTTTGGAAAAGTGCCTTGGTCTAGAGCAGTGGTTTTCAACCATTTCACAGCAGGGAATTGGCAAAAACAGGGAAACCAACTCAGGGACTGCTGAAGCAGTAACAAAAAGCACCATACACATAATACAGTATTCTGTGTATTAGTTTTCAAACACAATACCAAAAAAAAGGAAAAGAAAATTCTCCAAAACAACCAGAAACCAAGCAACAAAAAATGCCAACAAAAAAAGTAGAATACCGAAATTGGCACAGCGTGACTCCCAGTTGGTTCCCACTGAGCTGTCTCTTCCTTCCTTGGCTCCCCCATTGGCACCAGCACACCCCTGCAAATGCGATGCCAACTGAGAAAGAGGTGGTGGAGCACAGCCAGCCCCTGTGCTGGTCTGCAGTGAGTGGGATGCAGCCCCCTCTTAGACTGGCAGGAAATCGCTTGTGGACCGGCAGGGGTCTGCAGACTGGTGGTTGAAAACCACTGTTCTAGAAGATTCCTTCTTTGCAGTTGAGTCCTTCTTCTCAAAGCAGCTTGTCTCTTGAGACAATTATTATTCCACAGAGGCAGAACTTTCCTCCTGTGATCTCCCAGAGGGCTCAGAATCCTCCAGATCTCTTGCCATGGGTGACTCTTGGGCATGGTCCATTTCTGAAAGCTGTAGTTGTGAATCAGAGGATTCCCCCAGCAACTACAACAAGTAGGAGTGCACCGTGCCCACGTTGTACATGATTATGAATGATAACTGAAAGATAGACTATAGAGTAATTGACTGAGCAGCCAGATTTAAGGAAAAATTGTCAACTCAAAATTATTATTACTATTTCAATATTTGGAGGGTTGGTGTGGTTAAGAGTGTGGGACTGGGATTCAGGAGATCTTTTAGCCCTGCCTACCTCACAGAGTTGTTGTGAGGATAAAATGGAGAGGAAAAGTTTGTAAGGCACCTTGGATTCCTTTCAAGTGGAACGAAGAAGGGATATAATGTAATGTAGAATATAATAATATTTATTTATATCCCAATCCTGGGCATTAATGTGGCATTTGAAGATTGCCTAACTGTGCTCACATTCATCTATAATTCCCTTTTACTTGAGTTGTGGATATCCTTGCACTGAGGCTTGTTCTGAGCATAGGAAAAGGATCTTCATGCCTCAGCTCAAATATTTGTTTCCTGTTGCAGAGGATTAGACTGAGCTCTTCAAGTTCTAAGATTCTTAATGTTCTATAATTGTGCCCAATTTAAAATGTTTTCATATATTTTTATATAAAAGAGACTACTTGTGTTTTCTGTAGGCTGATTCTTCTGAAAGGCTACGGGAATATGGTCTTTCCCACATATATAGCCATCCTGCACTGCTAACCAGAATAAGGTCAGGTCCCCTTGTAGCCCCTCCAAAACCACCACCAGTACCTCGCTGGAAACTTATCCGCCAGAAAAAGGAAACTATTGTGACAGATGAACCCCAAGGTTTGGCTTTCAAGGCTCTGCGCTATATTTCCGAACTAACAATAAGTCAGTGTTTAATATTTGAACTTAATTTCATTGTTGCTACTCAGACTTCCATATCAGGATCAAAATAATCATATGGGAAAACAAAGAATGCTTATAGTATATCAGTGACCTAATCTGGTGATGAAATGGATACTATTTGGTGTTTGTGGAATGCTTCCACTATTCTTCATGTTCTAGTCACAAGATGGGTTATGTCTTCCAAAAAATTAAAGCCACAGTAATTTTAAAAGTTAAAGAAATAGTGTAGGACACACCGGAAAACTTAAACATTTAAGACATTGGGGTTTGAAGGACTGCCTTCTCCCATTCAACCCACCTACCTATTGAAATTATATTTGGTAGTCCACTAGTATGTCCCAATATCCCTTAATATACTTCTAATTGGAATTAAGACAGGGATTGGCTACTTCCCTTCAGATTTAGCAAGAAGACAAATCCCCACCAATATCTCTGTTATTAGAAATGACAGTGGGAATTCTGTGCCCCATTTCCCTTTCCAATTGTGAGGGCAAGCTGGAGGCTAATGGAAATAATAGCAATAAATCTGCATCTATACATATAAATCAGCAGATGCATGTATAATGCAGATCTTCATCCTCTTTTAGTGATGAATGCCTTCATTTTGCCCCTCCCCCAAATCAGAGGCATGATTTACACACACGCACCTTCCAGAGCATGTATTTTCCAGACTGACTGAGGCCATTACCTTTTGTATGTGTTTTGTTTCTTTAATTATAGATATGGCTCTTTTTGTTCCTTTACCTTTTAGAGCCTGTGATTAAGAAGCCTGAGCAGTTTATTGAGCTTGCTAGTCCTTTTTTGAGCTTCAGACTTTCTCCAGTACCTATTCCAAGGGATACGTAAGTAGATTAATCAAATAATTTAGTGAATTTTACTCTGTATTGACATGTGGCAATTTATATGACAAAAAGAAAGCAACCCTAAACTCTCTGATGGAGCACTCTGATAGTGGAATTCAATCCTCAAGAAGGAGGAAACCGGCATGGATATTTCCTTGATAGCTGAGTGAGCCTAGATCTGTAGTATGCCTATCTTTGGAAGGGAAAATATCCCATGGCCCTTGACCATATGATTACTCAAATGATTCTAGTGATGGTACAACACTAAAACTAGGAAAGGGGGTTGTGTGTGTGGATTGGGTGGTGTGGGGTGGGTGAGAGAGAAAGAATTAGTTTGCTATAGGTTAATTGTATTCCAACTGGGTAAAAATTCAATTAAAATTGTGTTCAAACATTCTGTTGAGAAATATATAACTTCCTAAATGTCCAAAAAGCAACAAAATGATTGCTCATGATTAAGCTTCACTATTATTTATGCATTCCACCAAGATGTCATCCATACTTTATGGTTATATTTTTGAAAAATTGAAACTCTGTATGACTTACCCTCCTGGGAAAGGCTTTGACTCCAGATACTTATATACAAATTTCCATAGAATCATAGAATACTAGAATTGGAAGGGCCCAATAAGTCCTCCAGTTGCAGCCCAGCTTAATGTAGGGCTCCAAGTTAAAAAATGGTTTGGGGTGTACTTGTGTATTTTAAAGATATATTTGTTTTCAGAACAGATTTTTCCCCAAAATTACTTTTTAAAGTATTTCAAGAATTCACTATCTCTATATAACAATAGATGTTATAGTTGGCCTGGCCCCTTCCAGCTATATGATTCTATGATCAGAACTCCATGAGTAAGGGACATGCCAAAAATTAGTACTGACTGAGATCTTCTCAATGTGCAAGGGAATATTTATGAAGTATAATGAAACATAGTTTCTGAAGGTGATGTCATTAAAATGAAGGCTAAAATGAAGAGGAGAGTCATATAAGTTGCCCTAGGTTCTCTGAAGGCAAAAAAGGCAGACTATAACAGTCTTACCCTATGGGCATATGGTTGATGATAGTGATAATTTGGCATTTCTCAGTAGGATTTTTTCAAAAATGCATTTTACATAGTTACTAGAATGGAATTACCCATTTTACATAGTTACTGGAATGTGGATATTATCGAATATACTGATTCAAATCTTCATATGCTCACGGAGCTGGAGCCATAACCACTCTACCCATTTGCAAGACAGAAGCATCAGCAGACTCTATATAAACCTAAGGTGTGCAAATACTACACACACACACACACACACACCTAAGATGGGCAATACATCCTCCTCACAAAACACAGCCCATGATAACAAACTCACTGGCACAGAAATGGGCAGAACAGAGGAGCAGACGCACGTACACATGCATGCACGCACAAACACAAAAGAGTTGAAAGAACCTTCTCATTGTCTAGATAGGTCCCTGCATGGTTCATACTGTTACCTGTATAGACATCAATAAAGAACTCAAGGATTTTAATGAAGCTAGGATTGAATGCAAGTGTATCCCCACAGCCACCCCCAAAACCACAAAAGGGAGGGCCGAGCATGAAGTTTTGTTTTATAGAGGTAAGAGTTAATTTCTGTTTTCTTTAGCCATTTTCCACCATCTACCTTCAAAAAGGGATCTCTTCCAGCCTCCACCCTTTCTTCAGTGACTGAAAGTGATGAAAGCATAATTGACATTTATGGAGATACAAATCCCATGAGCACAGAGGAGAATTCTCAGGTAAAGATATTATTCTGTGATTATTTGTCATCCCATCCTATCCTATCTCCTCTTCTGTCACCCATTCATACAGTGTGAAGGCTGTGAATGAAGTAAAAGATCCCAAGGTCACTTGAGCAAAACCTTTTTCACTTGTATTTGAATAAATTTGAAGACTCACATTTGTAACAGTCACAAATAACTTCCTATGTGATCTGTTGTGATTTGTCAGTGCCTCTGTTTTTGTTTGTGTTTTTGTAGACCCAAATACGCAAAAAAAAGTCGGAGTTTAATTTAATCCTTGAATAAATATTTTAACATTTCTTATAGTAAGAAAAGAGTAACCTGCATTTTTGGGGAGCAGCTTCAGGCAGAAAAACTCTCTCTAGAGGCACACATAAAGGCACACAAAAAAGGCAATAAGTGATGGATTAGAATACATTTTTAATATAGTGAACGCATTTATTTCACTTCATACTGGTATGTCACCATAGTTTTAAACAAGCATTTTTCATTCCCTAGGAATCAACTTTAGTTCCACAACATACTGTAGAAGGTAAGCATGATTGTGTTTTATGCTTGCTTTAATAGAAACAGATAAAAGTATTTATTTACTTCATTTATTTGTAGAAACATTACTTCCTCATATCTAATATTGAGTTGGCTTACAGTACAAAACTAAAAGGGTGTGGAGAACCAAACCTTAAGAACAACAATAAAAAACAGCAGGAAATAGTAGACTGAAAAGCATCCAGCAAAAAAAAAAAGGCAGGTGGAATGTAATAGTATTTGCTGCCATTGGAACAGATCCTCCTCCTCCTCAACATTCCTTCCCATACTACCACAACATCTGCTCTGGAGGTTCTTCCAAAGCAGGTTGATGGAGCATGTGTTGAGTTGCAGAGGGAAGGAAAAGTCCCATTGTATGAGCAGAAATAAACTTGCATAGTGTTGGATATTGGTCTGTCGTAGTGAAAGTCCTTAAAAGCGTAAAAAGAGGACAGTTAAAAGGTGCCAAACCTACATGTCAGGGGAGAAGGTCCTACAGTTTGGGTGCCACTGAAACGTCTGTTTTAGCTGATACAGCATAGTGTTCAAGAACTTTTGTGCATGAGGCATTCATTGTGCCCCTGTGATTCCTCACTCTGAGGAGCATGCTCCTCAGAGAGATAGTCCTGGCACCATCCCTGCCATCTTTTTGGCACCAGGTGAAAACCTTTTTATTTTCCAGTTATTTTAATAGTCTGTGTATTTTATTATTGGCTGATCCATTTTTAAATGTTATTATTTGCTGCTCTGCTGGGGGTGGGAATTAAACTATTATAGATGCTGCAGCTAGCTGTCCTATGGTTGTTGGATTGTGTCAGTTTTATTGTATTTTATGAGTACATTTCAAAACAGAGTGCAGCAGCTTTCAGCAATGAAGTAGCCAAACAATACATATTGTATATATAGCTTTCTCAGTAGCACATAAATTAATCATCATGGAAAATGGCAGCTAATATATCAACCCTAGAAATTAGTAAAGCAACAAAAAGAAAAGCAAAAGAAAACAGCAGTGACCATAAACCTCTCTGAAATAAAAGCAGTTGTGTGACAGAATAGTTATTACATAGAAAACAGAGCGAGTCAGAAGGGGTCTCCCGGACCATCTAGTCTGACCTCCGGCACCAGCCAGCCCCGCTCACGACATGCCCACCATGTGGACGTCCAGTCTATCCTTGAACACCCGCACCGATGGGGCCTCAACGACCTCTCGTGGAAGCCCATTCCACACCCTCGGGGTCCTGACTGTCAGGAAGTGCTTCCTGGCATCCAAATGAAACCTTGGCTCCCTGAGCTTTGCTCCGTTGGAGCGCATTCTGCCTTCCTCTGCAGGGGAGAACAGGTCTCTACCCATCTCCATGTGACATCCCCTCACATACCTGTATGTCGCCAACATATCCCCTCTGAGTCTCCTCTTCTCCAGGCTGAAAAGACCCAGTTCCCTCAGTCTCGCCTCATACGGCATCATACGGCATACACTGCACTGACTCCAACCTGGCTATATCCTTCTGTAATGAGGGGCCCAAAACTGAACACAATACTCCAGTTGCGGGCGCACTAGAGTCGTGTAGAGTGGTAGTAATACCTCTCTTGATCTAGAAGGCACACTTCTGGCTATGCAACCAAGGGTGGCGTTTACCCTCTTGACCACTGCATCACACTGCTGACTCATGTTTAGCCTGCAGTCAACCAGTACCCCGAGGTCTCTTTCACAAGTGCTGCTCTCCAGCCACTTGTCACCTAACCTGTACTTATGACACCTATTCCTATGCCCCAAGTGCAAGACCTTGCACTTATCCACATTGAACGCCATCCTGTTGTCTCCTGCCCACTTCCATAGTCTGTCCAGACCCTTTTGGATCTGGAGTACCTGCTCCTCAGTTGTGGCCACTGCTCCAGTTTTAGTGTCATCTGCGAATTTGATCAGCAGACTGTTCACCCCTTCTTCCATGTCGTTAATGAAAAGATTAAACAGAATCGGCCCCAGGACAGAGCCCTGGGGGACCCCACTTGTCACTGGCCGCCATCCTGATGATTCCCCGTTAATGGTTACCTTCTGCTTTTGGTCAGTCAACCATGCCCTAATCCACCGGACAGTGCTTTGGTGTATCCCAAAACGCCTCAGTTTCTCCACCAGGATATCATGGGGCACTTTGTCAAAGGTCTTGCTGAAATCCAGGTAGACCACATCCACTGCATCCCCTCCATCTAGCCATCTCGAAACCTTGTCATAGAATTCCACAAGGTTTGTCTGGCAGGACCTGTTTTTGCGGAAGCTGTGTTCTGTGGCTGTCAGCCTCCCTTCCCTATCTAGCATCAGTAGATCTCTCTCTATTATGAGCCTTTCCATTGTTTTTCCTACAATGGACGTAAGGCTAACCAGTCTATATTTCCCCATGTCCTTTCTACTACCCTTTTTGAAAATTGGGAGCACTGATGCCACCCTCCAATCCTCTGGAACTACACCCATTTCCACGAGGTCTCAAAAATGGAGGCCAGTGGGCGTGAGAGAACCCCGGCCAACTCTCTAACTACTCTCGGGTGTAACCTGTCAGGGCCTGGCGCCTTTGTAATGTCCAATGCCCTGAGGAGCCCCTCGACTTCAAGAGGGGTGACTCTAATCTGTGCCCCTAAGTCCCCAGCTTCATCTAATCTCCTATGCAGATCTCCCCCGTCCTGCTTTGGGGAGAACACAGAGGCAAAATATTCATTTAGCATCTGTGCCTGTTCCCTCATATCAGTCACTGGATCTCCTTCCTCCTTATTTAGTGGTCCTACCACTTGTCTCCCCTTCCTCTTCCTATTTACTTGCTGAAAGAAGCTCTTTTTATTGCTCTTGATATTCTTGGCAAGTCTCAGCTCATAATCAGCCTTAGCCTTGCAAAGAATTCTTCTGCAATGGGCCTCCTCCTCCTGGTATACCCTTTTGTCTATTTCCCCCAGTACCCATTTCCTACGGAGGTTCCTCTTTCGTCTAATCCCTCTAACCACCTCCTTTTGCATCCATGGCGGCACTCTCCTCCACCTCCCCACCTTACTGGCTAGAGGTATCGTCAAGGCTTGTGCCTCCAAAACCTCCCTTTTGAGTGCCATCCACCCCTCCTCAACTAGCTTACCTTCCAGTAACCTATCTCAGGAGACTTTCCCCAGTCTGGCCTTCAGTTGGCTAATGTTGGCCCTCTTGAAGTCCCAGCTTCTAGTGCTCGACCTGCTGCCCGTCCGCAGTTCCAGAGCTCCCCTATTCATCTATCAGCTCCTCCCTATTGGTCAAGACCAAGTCAAGGATGTTTCCCCCCCTCGTCGCCTCTCGGACCCTCTGTGTGAAAAACGCTCCCTCAATAGCTTCTAGGAAGCGACATTACCTGGCTGTCACTGCCGAGTGAGTCTCCCAAGTAATATCCGGGAGATTGAAATCTCCCATAATTACTGTGTCTCTCCCCTGAGATAGCCTTAGAATCTGGCCTGTCAGGACATCATCCAGGGTCTCAAGTTGACCTGGAGGGTGATAACATACCCCCCACTGTCAGGTCTCTTTCCCTGTCAAAACCCCTAAGTTTCACCCAGACTGCCTCTACCGAATCCCCATCTGTGCTGCATTCTATCTCCCTGCATCCTATCCCTTCCCTGACATATAAAGCCACACCCCCACCTCTCTTTCCCTTCCTGTCCTATGTAAAAAGGTGATACCCTTCTGTGTTCACATTCCAGACTTGCCTTTCATCCCACCAAGTTGCTGTGATTCCCACTAGATCATACCCTCCTATTCCCAGGAGAGCTTCAAGCTCTTCCTACTTATTACCCAAGCTCCTAGCATTGGTGTACATGCACCTCAACTCCTTCCCACCGCTTCCTTTCCTTGGAGTTCCCAGCCTCCTCCTTCCTCCCATCCTCCCTAATACCTGGCCTCTCTCTGAAGGAGTCCTGTCAGTCCCTGCAGTATCTCTAAAACCCAGCCCTGATCCTCCCCCCACACTTGTCCAGTGCAGACATGTTCCTGGGGGGCCTGAACTCCCCCCCCCCCGGCTCAGTTTAAAGTCTTCCAGACAAAGCTCGCTAGAGCATCTCCAAAGGACCTTTTCCCCATCCTCTTGAGGTGTAACCCGTCCCTTGCCAGCAGTCCATTGGCAAGAAAATGAGTGCTGTGGTCAAGGAACCCAAAGCGTTCCTTCTGGCACCACACCCTAAGCCAGTCTTTCACCTCGGAGGCCCTCCTGTCCCTTCCTGGCCCAAATCCCTGGACAGGTAAGATTGACGAGAAGGCCACTTGGGCCTTCAGCTCCCTGAGTTTCTTCCCCAAGGCCTCAAAGTCCCTGGTGGTCCCAACCACACCCTGCCTGGCCACATCGTTTGTGTCCACATGGATCACCAGGAGCGGCACATATTACATATAGCTAATATTCATTTGTGCTGTAGACTGTAGGTGCCATTCTGGAAAGGGAAAATAACTCTAAGTTGTGCACTTGCTTAGTTCTGAGCAAAGTTCACCTGTTTCTATGCCAACCTTAGTATGATAATCTGCCTTGAGGAGAGCAAGTGATTTGAGTTATTTTGGTTCTATTCATCAAAATGGTACTCTGTGTCCACTTCACTGGATGAGAGGTCCTCAAATTGTGTGAGCAAAGTCAAAGGATAAAAGAAGATACATCTCCTAGCAAGTACCGACTGTTAAGGAAATGGTATGGCATTTCCTTTGTGTTTTGCCCTGTCTAGAGTCTTTTAGAAGTGGTGGTTTACAAGCTTTGTAAGGATGTATTCCCACAAAGAATTTTTTGAGAAGTGCTTTTGATGTACTTCTGAACTCTAGAAGGTCCGTGCTAGTTCTCTGCTAATTTCCTTCACACCTTCTGATGGTCTATAACACAATTAGAGTTTTAGCCTTCTAGTGGTACAGCCATCTTTTTGTCCCCATAATGTGGAATATAGCCTCTTTCTAAAGCATACTTTCTGTACTACAATTGCTGTAATAACTAAGATCTGCTAAGCACACATGCTTTAATGCAACTTCATCTA